TCTGTCTATGCACTGTTTAGAAATCTTTGGTTGCATTGCATTCGAACTTCAAACAAATTAGTTTTGAAGCGAACAAAGATTGACATACACCGGGGTCTCAGTCTGCTTATTTGTTGTGCAACAGAGTTTGAATGGTAGTGTTCTTACTTGCTCTAATAAAGCATGGTTCGTTTTCATCAAACCACTAATAATAAGTGACAAAGCTGAAGCAAACCTTTTCAGTTGTGATTTTGTGCCCTGGGCCTGTTTTTTGTTTACACGATTCCAAAAAAAAACAAACAAACACAGAAGTCAGTGATGGAGTCAAAGGATCCAAGAAGAATGTCATTATTCTTGTGAATGGTAGGCCTGTTGCCAGAGATTATTTATCATATAGTCTGACTCACAGCACACTTGAACTTAATTTATGTTAAGATGAAATTCGATCGAAGTAATTCAGGGTGGTTTGATGATAAATGGTTCATTGTAGAGACTCAGATGTCTTTACAGTGGTGGTGTTTGGAACCTGGAACCTAATATTGATAATGAGATTTCTTTGGGGGCTGTTTCATCCTGCATGTACCTCTCCAGCATGAATGGCTTTTAAAAAATATGTAGGTCAAAGTTTATTAACCTAAATCATCAAAACTATGCTAAAACCAATGTCTCAGACATCAGGCAGCGTATTCATAACCATTTGTTATAGCTTTCTGTGAGGGAGCTTTTAGAGGTGGATGTCTGGTTTCTATCACCACCACTCTTGGACAGTGCTGACTCTAAACACGATCACTGTGAACAATTCTAAGTTTCTCTAGAATGGACGATGGTTTCACACAAAACCACCCTGAATGACTTTCTTTACATTTTAAGGAATCTCATATATTACTTATACTACTATATTACTAACTTTTTGCACATGCATACTGCTTTTTTCCTTCTCTTTCTCTTTCTGCTCTCGGGCAGTAGCTCTGTTTCTCTTTGTCTCTCTCCTTCTCTCTCTCTCTCTGGCTCTTGTTACCTGATACCGGTGAGAGCCGTGATGACCTTAAGTCAGACAAAGCGGTTCAGAAGTGCTGAAATTTAGCCAGGCCCTCCAGAGATTTCATTCTGCATGAGAGTCATTCTAAAAGCAGATACCCCCCACCTACATCCACCCAACTCTCAGATCCCTGCTCCACATTCTTTTCCATTGGGAAAAAGAAGAACATGCTGCACACAAATGACCCCAAAAGCAAGGGAACTGACATGATCAGGGTAAATTAAAATGCTCAATTCTGTCGTACCTAACATATCATCAGAGATACATTCAGAGACTTGGTGAAGACCTCTTTAACTCATTAAAATCTGCCCCTAAAATAGATCAGGATGTGGAATTGTGTGCTACTGTGTTTTCTGTCTCTGTATATAAGAAACATGATGCTGCCTTTATTGTTAGATGCATTGTGATAAATTCTGAGCAAGCATTCACACATTTAGAAAGGAATTCCGATTACTGAGGGCATATTAGTGATTTTTTCCACCAGAAGAACAATTAAAGGCAACTGAAAGCTGTCAGAAGCAGGGTTAGTTTTTGATAGTTTTTAAATTTGTATTAGGTTTTGTTTTTGTTTAGTTTTTCAGTTAGTTTTTTTGATTCCAGGTTAGTTTCAGTTCGTTTTAAGGATGTGTTAATAGTTCTAGTTTAGTTTTTATTTAGTATCAGTTTTTAATGTAATGATAAACACTTTCCTTAGACAACCAAACACTCAAGGGATCCACTTCTAAACACACACACACTGAAGAAACAAAAACAAAAATAAAAAGGTTTTTTACCCATTAATTCTATTACGTTTCAGTTAATTTTGCGGTCAACATTATTGTTCTAATTTAGTTCTTGTGTTGTTACAGTTTACAAGCACATTGCATTTTCATTGCTAGGTTTTGTTTTATATATTCGCATTCTTATATTTGCTAGCTCAAAATTATAGTTTGTGACATTAAATAAAAATCTGTGCACAAACAGGAACATACAGTGTAATTTATGCAGTAAGTAATATAATAAACAGGAATACACAGCATAACTTATGCAGTACACCACTGGTATTGTCTTTATCAAAAATGTTATATCATGATACTTTTTCACAATACACGATATATCACAATATTTGTTTTTATTGATTAATATATTTTATTTTATTGATTTGTTTTTTGTAATTTGTAACAGACAAAGTAGTGCCACTTTTAAAAAATAGTATCAAAAACTCTGAATCCAATTATTTATATTTAAAATGTCACATACTTTGCTACTAAATCCAGTTAAACAGAACAGATGATGCTTTTTTTTAAAAAAAATATTTTTGTAGACATAAAAAAGTACTAGCGATATCCACAGTATGTTCAGAGAAGCTTTTTTGTGACATATTGTGATGTAATGTATAACAATAATGATATATATTGCCATATTGCCCTGACCTAGTGTGCATAAACAGAAGTGATGCTTAGATGTCTTGTTTCAAATCTTTAAAATACAGTTTTTAGCTTCCTAAGTGGTTCTTGGCTTGGGTGTAAGGTTTTAGGTTCACATAACATCATCTGGAAATACTTCATTGCAGCCCGGTGATGTGCCTGATACAGCTAAACAAGACAGAGACTGCATATTTTCTGTTGATTAGCTAACATCACATGATTATCATATCCTTCCTGATTGCTTAACGTTTATGTTGGAGTAGTTCTGTCGTATAGGTTTCATAAATATTTGTAGGAAACATTTGCACTGGCTTAACAAAGCAAAAGTTATTCAGCTACCAAGCTAGAGGTTGTGCTTTCGGTCAACAGTGACCCTTGTGTAACTAATCCTAGAGTAGCTGCTGGTTCTTCAAAGGTGTTTATTTTGACAACCTGGGAATTCATGAGTTAGGCTTACAAGCTTACAAAGTCCAGCTACTACAACCATTATTACGAGGTTTAATTGCTCAGCAGTTGGCTAGATTATACTTTGTACTTATAACCAGCATCAATCTAGAAAAGCAAGCTGGCCTATCAGAATGACAACAAAGAAGATATAGGCTACAGCATGTTTTACCTTTGTGTGCATTGATAGCACTTTCTGAGTCAGCGCCAGCTGCTAATGAAACTGTGCAGGCAATGCAGAGTGATTTAACAAACTTGAGCCAGCAAAACAGGGCTTTGTGATAAAGATACAGAAAAGGCTCATGAGGTGTTTCTCATCTGAAAAAATGTTGCCAGTTTTTATACGAACAACGATGTAGAAGAAGTCACTCTTAAGGTTTGCTGGAGCATACCATAAAAGACAAATGTTGGTTCCTTAAAGAACATTGTAATGAATGTTGTTGTTTTTTTTTTTTTTTCAAAAAACCTGACCTCGTTGACTAGGGGTGGGAATGTCTTGGCACCTCACGATTCGATTCGATTACGATTCAGAGGGCTGCGATACAATTATAAAACGATTATTGATGCATCTCGATGCATCTTTTTTTTCTATACATGATTTCTATTTTCTTACTGTCTGAGGACTTTGTAGTTTTAAAACAAAGTATTTGTAATGATCCATAATGCATTTACGTCCAATATCTTTTATTAATAAAACAAATGGAAGTGATGTGGCAAGTGAACTAGAATGCTCTCATTCACTGCTCTTGTTTGGAGACGCTGCTGCCACTCATCTGCGATAAAATGCGCTGTTACGGTGAAATAAGATCCAGTGGTAATGGATGACCACGCAGCACATTATATATTCTTTAGGGATTTCATAACTTCGGTTTTGGTCTTGTGATGGGGTGCGACTGCAGGTCACCTAGCAACGAGGTTTCGCCTGGCTAGTAGCAAACGAAAAAGGAAAAGAGAAAGACAGACAAACATTTGGAAATGAATGGACTTGTTCGCATTTATAAGCAGCGCAGTTGGTACATACAGGAGGTACATTAAATCTGCAACGAGAGACTGTCAAACACTAACTAAAAAGTTGCGAAGATGAAGTCGCTTCTCTAATTTTCCCGTTCCACCTTAAATGGTGCCACTTTTACATTCGGCGCATCAGTCAGAATTTAAGGTGGAACGGGAAAGTTTAGCAAGAAGCTGGCGAGTGAGAAGCGACTTCAGCCTCATAAAACAGCGGACCGCTGAGAGACATTTTACAAGAAACTATTCAACTTTTGAGGAAAAGTTTTCAGGCGGAGTTGGAAGAAAAGCAGCTATAGCTGAGCTAAAGCTTAAAGTAGAGCAAAGTAAGTCTGCGTTTTCGTTTATATTTTTTAGCTGAAACTAGCACATTATCACATACTGGACATAAATGTTGTGGCTCCCAAGGTGATTTGATTGTTGTTGAAAGGACAAAATGGCTCTTAATAACATTTGGGTTGTGACTCCTGACCTAACCTGGCTTTTAGTGCAGAGGGAGCCGGTCAGATTTCTCACTCATCCTGTGGTGTTTTTTTATGTGTTTCGCCACAGACTGTCCAGGCACTGCACTTACCCACTTCCAAGTTCTGCCCTTTGCGTTCCATCAACATTACGTTATAAATTAAATATTTAGAAAATCAATTTTTGACATTTATGAATCGATTCAGAATCGTCCACATCTGCATCGCGATGCATCTAAGAATCGTTTTTTTCCTGCACCTCTATCGTTGACCATGTCATCCAGTATTGTGTGCAATGGTGCTTTACAGGGATTAGATGTCATCTACAGGATGACTGTTTGACTGGGACTGTTCCAAGTCAGACAGCTTCCTGCTGTGTGTGGAGCATCTGTTAAGTTTGACTGTGTTCTAATCTTCAGTAATGGGGCCAACCTCATTCAAAACAGATTAGTGTAACAATGATTGTTGCTCAGCTGACTGCTTATTCACAGTAAAATAGGAATTTTGGCCAGAAAAGCTTTGGTGGAGTGTGTTGCTTTGGTACAAACTGTTGGATCTTTATATGTTCTAATGGTTAGATTTTGCCATTGCTCAGATGATTTTTGATGTGTCTTTTGTTTTGGTTTCACTGCTTACCAGCATCTTTTTTCTTATCTCCTACAGAGGTCCTACACATTGATAGTGGAGGCCTTGGACTTCCATAATGATACTGCTGGTGAAAGTAAGTTATACTTTAATTTTTGCCAGAGAGTGCTTTTCATTTGCCGTTTTGTGCTATTTATGTGCCATTATAGGTGGTTGTTATCCCTTAGAAGTCACTGTTTCACCAAGCATAGTGCAATTTGAAGTATTTCTCACTCGTAGCTCACTGAAGCAAACAGATCAATTTGATCAGAAATGCAGAAATGCATTTTACAAGAAACTATTCAACTTTTGAGGAAAAGTTTTCAGGCGGAGTTGGAAGAAAAGCAGCTATAGCTGAGCTAAAGCTTAAAGTAGAGCAAAGTAAGTCTGCGTTTTCGTTTATATTTTTTAGCTGAAACTAGCACATTATCACATACTGGACATAAATGTTGTGGCTCCCAAGGTGATTTGATTTTTGTTGAAAGGACAAATGTTGAAACAGATCAATTTGATCAGAAACGCAGATTCTAGTTTTAATCCATATCACGTTTGATCTCTTTGATCTGATCAGAGGCTTTTGCACAAACTTATGGCTATGACTTGTGCACATCATTATTAAAAACAAAAGAAGTACATATCAAATACTAAGAAATTCTAAAATTCATGTTAAAATTTTAAAGATTCTGCTTTTCACGCAATGGTCTAATACTTTTGGACCTCTCTCTGTCTGCCTATGCCAATAAATAAATTTTGGTAAAATTGGGAAAACATCTATCTGGATTAGCATTACAGAGAAATATAACATTTATTTTTATATGTAAATATAAATGTTATATTGTTCTGCTCTTCCAGAATACAATATGTCATCAAATATAGGCCAAATCTAAACATTTGACCAATGCTGATATATTTTTTTAGTGTCTGCCATTACTGACATGATTCCGATATGATCTTGCAATCCTATTTGTGTGATAGTTATTCTGTTATGATTTGAATTTGAAAGAAGAAAACCTATTATTTACATTTTTGCCAAGACAGTGTAATTAACTGTATTTGCATGTAGCAAAACAATTGTAATAACTCTGGACTCTTAAGGGTTAAAGTCAGAAAGTTCAGCTAAGTTTTTCCGGCCCCCTCCTCTCTTGGCCCACTGGCCATTAAACTAAATGTGCTGACAGGTGCGACAGGACAGGGAAGAGGAAAAGGGGAAACAGTGACTGTGTATGTTGGGGGGGGTTAAGAGTATGTATGTGTGGTGAGGGGCTTACAGAAAGAGCATGAGGTGAAGTGGCCTCACGCTTATAAAAATGTTTTTTAAACACAGCTGATGAGTTATGGCAGGTGCTGCTAGTCAGGGTGACATAGCCATACTGTCACTGCTGGCTAGATTCAGCACATGTTCATTTGTTCCCTGTGACCTCTTTCTGCTCCTATGTCCACAGTGAGCTGCAACACAACTCTGTAGAAGCAAACATGCTTAAGCCCTGGTGGAGTTGTAGCTCTGTGTGGGTTGAAAGACGACTGTTTAATGATTGACCTATAGAGTCAATAGCATTAGCTTGTATTCATTTCAATGATTTGCTCATATGCTTTGGCTGTGGTAGCCAACTGCCTGAGTGGCTGATGTTGTTATACAATAGTGTTTAAGTTCAGTAGAAGAGGAGTGGAAGCTTGCTTGTAGCATTATTTATATTTTGACTGCTAAACTACTCCATAACTCATAGGATCCAGCATGATGCCGTCTTCAGACCTAGAGTTAGTTGGGGTGAAATAATGAAAGCATTTTCAACATGGTCATAGACACATGCTCTTCTGGCTGATGTTAGCATTTCAAACACAGCAGCCCATATGGCTAGAGCCATCTGATTGACCGCAAAGCATACCGATTCAACCATGCCTGTGTGCAAATGGAGGTGAAACTCCTACATTTACTACATGTATTCTGTGGAGCTGTGGAGCTTATGGTAGACTCACAGACCTGTTCATCTAAAGAATATGCTTAGTAAATGTATGTACAACTTATTTCAAAAGGAATACTCCAGAATTTTCAACCTAATCTGTAGTCTATGGTCGATTGCTTCAGCATTTGCCCATTGGCTTTCCTGTAAAAACAGTTTGCGTTCCTTTACAAGGAACAGCGATATTAAATTGTTAAAACAAAGAAATTATTGTCTGTCGTAATCAACCATATGCTACATACAGAAGATAGAAAACTGGACTATTCATTGAATGAATGGACTATTCATTTGTTTAATATGTAAGCACAAAAAATGTAAATAGATATAAATAGTAAACACAAAATTTGTAGAATGTGATCAGCTTGCGGCCATACATTGGCGGCCATACATTTTCTATCTTTGGAGTCACTTATGCTATTAGAATATTTACATTTGCGCCATACATGCTAAAATAGGGCCATAGGAGTACATATGAGTTCATTTCACACTGGTGGAGTTCATGTGACTATGTTGAATGTACTGTGCATGTTTACTGCTCTAGGACCAAAATACAGATGAGAAGACAAGGGCACTTTTATTTTTGAGATTTGACCTTTGCTGTCTATGTCCTGAAAGAGGAGAGGCTCTTTTGTCTGTTTAATGTTACTTCCTCACTTCATGGTGAAGTGGAGCAGGCTGCTGGTAGTAAGGACATGACACCTGGCTCTGGCCACAAGCTGCAGACTGCTAGCGAAATGCCACAGTGGCTTTCTACATTCCAGAACTTTATGAAATATAGGCCTGCTTATGCTCTTCCATATCAACTGCTCTCATGTCCATCTCTCTCTGCCTTTGAAAGACTGTAAATGAAATGTTGGCCACTGATATCGGAATCACTCATATGACTCATATCACTCATATCTGCATTGGCAGATAATTGCTTTAAAAATGGGACAGATGTTTGACTGATATGTCAAATTTGGTAATGTATTTATTGCTCTGTGGAAGAGCACTGTGGGCTGCTATGCTAAAATGTCTGCATTTTATTCAGTTTACTACATTTGCTACCCTTTAGAAATACATTTAATATTAATATAACTTTAATATAAATCCACGTGTTTTCAGTCCTAATTTCTGCATTATATAAATATGTATCAGCATCAGCATCACCATATATGTACCTGAAAGATTCCCATTGCTAGTTGTTGATGAGAATTAGAGATGGCACTAATCTAGTATCCAGCAGAACATGTTGAACTGGATTTTGCAGGATAAAAGAGAATCACCTCTGATTCTATAAGAAATCTAGCATAAAATATCACATGCTAGTGCATTACATTTTCACTATTCATGCATTTTACTTTTCTTTTTTAATGGAAGTTTAAAAAAAGCTGCAATTTGAATCAGGTGGTTGGCTTTGTATGTCTTTCTATACAGAGTGTTTGTTTCAGATGACTATCTTAATGAATGTGTTTTAAATAAAATAAGATTGGTTTAAATTTTAGTGCTTTTTATAAAAAAATGGTATCAGCTGAATTTTTTTTTGCTTTAAAGAATTGGTTTTTGGTACTTTGAGCAGGTTTTTAGAACTTGGGCAAAGGCTGGAAGAGTTCCACTGCTGAGATCTTGAAGCTTACTGACATTGGATAGTGTTGGCACACAAATTGGCACACAAAAAACTTACCAAAACCATTGAGGCAACTAATTTACATTGTACATGCATGAATTATGTTGTTTAATATATACTATTTTGTATACAGTGTATTAATTAATCCATGACTATAGTAGTGATTCAAGCTAGTAATGCACCAAGATGAAAATTCCTGGCTAAAAAAAAAACGAAATCATTTTGAAATCAACCTGTTTTCAAGTGGTGTCAAATCTGTAGTGTAAAAGTTAGTTACTGGGGGTTTGATACTCCAAACGAACAGATTCTAAATCTAAATTCCAAGTTGTCTAATGTCCCTCGTACAATCCGTGAAGTAATTCTATTTATTTATTTATTTGTTTTTGGCCGGCCCCCCTCATCTGAGGTCTATTAAAACTTTTACTGTGAAGTACTTCTAGACAGCAAACATTTCACTGTTGATCTGTTGCTGCTCAAATAACCAGAGAGCAGTGGTAATAACAGAGATTTTAATCAGTGTTTCTCATATTCCTTATCATTAAAATTATTTGTAAAGTCACATTTTGACACTTTGTTGTAGGCCTGTTTAATCTTTTGTTTCTTTTCTTCCTCTTTCAGCTGAAAACTGAAAGTGTCATTTTTGATCATTTTCAGCTGAAATGTTTCAGTGACTGAAATTTCGATGCATCCTTAAGTAAACCAATGGATGCTTATTAAAACAAGTAAAAATAATAATGCAAAGAAGGGTGGTGATATTTCAGAACGATTGTGTATTTCAGAAAGAGAGAGAATAAGCTGTGCCAGCAATTTCTCTTTTTCAGCCTGACATAGAATTAAACAGAAAAATATATGGGCTGCTTCTTACTACCTTGTGTGTGGTTTATACACTTGGGAGGAGACCAAGTGGAGGGGAAATTTGTGTGTGGTTCAAGCTGTAAATATTGCTTGAACAGTGTGGGTATATGCTGGGTTTTCCAGTTTATTAGGCACACTATCTTGTACCTGCACTCACTAGCCATTTTGTCAGTTTTATGACATATTATGACACAGTATGTCAAGAGACATATTTTGGAAAAGACAAAAAGTGCCACGTTTAAAAAAAAATACCTCTTCAAAAACTATGAATACAATGATTTATATTCATCATTTCATATCCTGTGCTGCACTAAATCTTATTACAAGACTGATTATGCTCTCTTTCTAATGAAAAATACAGGTGGGAAATTTTAAGTAGTGAGGATAGGCTCAGAAAAGCATATTGTGACATAGTTTATCATGATAACGATAAATATTGTCATATTGCCGAGACCTAGTGGTAAATCATTCTCAGCACGGCAGTGACACCAGTATGGTATTGACAGTGTTTTTGGGGTTTTTACACACTTCAATGTCACTTGAAGTCCACCAACTAAAACTATCTAGCCAACATGTGGCTCTGTTGAAAGGCTAGGGGATGACTAACAAAATGTGCATGGCAAAAAATAAGCTATAGTCTCTAAACATACACTTGCCAAGTGTACTGGCAAGGTAGGTATGTCTAATAAAGTGGCAGTAAGTGTAGGTGGAAGATTGTAGGCCATACGAACCTTCAGTGTATATAAAATGTATCTTTGTTCATTAGAGTCTAAATGTTGCTTCCTCATTCCTCTCTGGCATACAGTTTTTGGGGTGTGGAAGAGCATGTGGAAATATCTGTGTGTGGGAACATGTGTGAGAGTGAAAGTGTTGGTCTTTAGAGTTCTGCTGGCATTCAAAAGCCTTCTTGGTGTTTGTGCACTGTAATTTTGGTAACTGCGGTTCCTTAAGTTTAGGACATTTGAAACTGGCAATAAGAGCAGCATATAAACAGTAAGAAACATTAAAGGGCCTTATAAACCCTATTCGACACTTTGGACTATATGTTGTCCTGCTGAACTCTTACAGTAACATATCAACCATGCAGGTCCAACTGGAAGACTCATTGAGAAGGCTTACCACTCTGGAATGATCAACCCAAATCACCAGTGGCAGAAGCTGACGCACAATGGTCCTATTGCCCAGTTTGAGTATCAAATCCGGGTAACTTGTGAGGAACACTACTATGGCTTTGGCTGCAACAAGTTCTGCCGGCCACGTGACGAGTTCTTTGGACATTATACTTGTGACCAGAATGGCAACAAGACCTGCCTAGAAGGATGGACGGGCCCTGACTGCAACACAGGTAAACTAGGCAAAGTATTTTGAGATCCAGTCTGAACCAGTCCCCTATTTCAGTCCTGTTTTTCACATGCCCTCATCAGCTTGCTCTCACTAGTTCTCCCATGGGGCAATCTAAGACTCCATCTTTACAGCCCAGGTAAAAGAAAAATGACAGACTAAGCTGTTTGTAAGCCAGAGCAATTAAATACTTAATATTCCAAAAATAATACATTTAATTTGCCATATTACAATTTGGCTTTTAGTAGGAAACTACTAAAAAAAAAACTACTAACTAAAAGTAATTTTGTTACTTCGCTTGGCTAACTTGCTAGTTAGCAAACGAAGGGCTACAGTTAGCAACAATAAAGAAAGAAGAGGAATGTAACACATTTCTCATAGTTAACCTGAAGGTTAAGCCAGACAAAGCAAAATTCCCAACTCCAAAAACAATATGCATTACTAAGTTTGCTGAGCAAGCTAATTGTCTCATTAAGGCTAGCTTTACTAAAGGTCAGTGCATTCCTAATGAAAACATGCTCTTCATTGTCAACTCATCCTGCATGTGAAGACTTTTGTAGTGTAGGTGCTATGTGCTTTGGTGTCAGTGCAGGCATGTTACAAAGAGTATGTCAATGTAGTGTAAGTTTTCAGATACTTCTCCTGAAACTCACTGTAGATCTGTCCACAAGTGAAATGTTGCTTGTAACAATTCTCTTCAGCTCTTGAAATCTTATCAGTCCACAAAAGGATCAAAGTGGTTACAAAATAGTTTTATGCCCTGCGTTATTCCTTGAAGAGAGCTATTAAGTGGATGCAGGAGCCATTTTAGAAGGCAGGAGAGGTTGGTTTGGCTTCTGATGCTATTCTACAAAGCTCCAGCCAATGGAGAACGCTGAGGTTAATGTGCCTCAAGACTTGACGACAGGCCTCAAATTAGACTGAGCTTGAATGGGCTCTGTGGGTGGATTAGGGATTTGATAGATACCCCCTTACATTCCAGAAACATTCCCATGGGTGAGGGGAGAACAGCATGATCTGACATGGTACAATGAAGATGGACGGACCACAAACTTATGTTTGTTTCCCTCCTTTTTTCCTTGATTTCCCTCTTTCTTTTTCACCAGCTATCTGCAGGCAGGGATGCAGCATCGAGCATGGATCCTGCAAACAACCAGGAGACTGCGAGTGAGTCACTTTATCCGCCTCTTCTTTATGATACAATTAACATTTTGAAAGAATTCTTGTCTGCAAGTTCCCAGACAGTCTGTATGGGTTTTTTTGTTCGTCGTCTTGGCCATGTTGCTTGGCTACTTGACATTTTGAGCTTTTGGGTAATTTAAGCCTTATTGAAGAGTGGGAGTAGAAACAGTACAGGCTCAGAGTCTCCTCTTGCAGCTGACTGCCAGGCTGCAGAGCTCCAGAGAGTGCGTCATGGTCAAATCCTAACAGAATGTTGTCTCCTGTCTGCTCTGCCAGTCTCCAGTTCTCTTCCTGTCCAAAGACAATGAAAAGCACAGCCTGTTGACATTCTATTCTAGCACTGGCAAAATGGCACTTCGGGGGGATTGAGGCAGTGTCAGTAAAGGCATGTTTTTGAGTGGGCCAGAGAGCACTAAATGTGGTCCAGTATAACCAACATTGTTGTTGGTTTGTTCTCTATTTTTCTGCTTCTTTTTGGCAAATGCACAAGGTTTATCAGTAGATCAAGCAGAATTCTTAATTGGCCTTTAAAATGCACTGCTTGTTCAGTTAATGGTTTATGAATTTGGCCCTGCGGAAATTGAATAGGAATTCTGAGTGTACGTGAGTTTGTGATCTTCCAGTTTGCCATGCTTCTAAGCCTTGTGCTTATAAACTTACTGGGTCATTGAATGCAGTGTAGCCGTGATTTAAGGTTAATGGTGTAGATTCTCTGGATGACAGAATTAAAACACTGCTAACTTGCATGCGCTTAACTGCACATACTTCAACGGTAAAGCCGTGATTCAAATTACCCCAAATAGTCATCCAAGACATGTTTGGTGTCCAAAATTTGTTTCTTCAGATGTGTGCTGGAGCTACAAGGCTAATGTTGACTATTGTAATGAAAGTAGACTTAGCAAACTGCTTACCTAAATCATCTTGGCTCAACCATGTTGAGTATTTCAAACTAACTTGACATGGCATGCTGTTATCTGTAATAATGTAGAGACAAAGTTCAGGCTTCAAGGTTGCTGCTACTACTGTTTTTAGTTATATGCTATACTTTTTATAGAAAAAAACACTTAAGCAAGTCTCTCTGAGACACTTAAAAATTCAAGTATGCAGTGTGTTAACATGGTAGCCGTAAGTTTTCATGACCTCCATGACTTCCATGACTCCAGTCCAAGATTAAAGAAGCAAACTTTGGACACTAAACATGTCGTGGCGGATACATGACTTTTGGGGTAAGGATAAAATGGTGTAAATTTTGGCTGAACCAATGCTTTAATATTTAGTTCACCCAGAAGGTGGCTGTTACTATGTGTGCAAAAGGCAATTTCTGCATACCTCAAAGAATATTTATCAAAGTGAATGACCCAGTCATAAAGAAATGTCATGCATAACTCATTTGTGTCAAGGAGAGAAGAGTTACTGTGAGCTCATAAACTGAGTATTTCTTGTGCAACTCGCAAGCTGGGTGTTCTCCGCAAGTTGTGGCGTGCTCTGCCTTAGGTGCTTATTAAAGAGTTTTGCCTATTTCAGTAAATGTTCAAATGATTGGTAATCAACAGTTTGGCTGTCATGGCTTATTATTGCTCAGAACTGTTAAAAAATAAGAATTTAGCATTGTATTTTGAACGGAACTAAAGCAATTACACATCTTCAGCCGAGGGTGACAATGTCTAATTGTCAACTTGGCTGTTATGTTGAAAAGTTGACTAACTGCAGGCAAGAGGGTTGAAGCCAGTGAAGTTGTTACATTGTCCCTTCTGTAGGAGAATCCTGGACTGTTGTGTTGTAGCTGTCGAAGTCTATAATCATGAAAGGCTGAATGCATTTTTGGGTAACTGTTATTTTAAAACTGACTTGCAGCACCATTAATGCGTCATTTATTTGACCGCTGCCTAGAAGTCATACTGGTGAAGTGTGGTTGAATTTATAGCATTTGTTTGACGTGGTCAGCAGCCTCAGGCAAATGAAGCTTTAGGGTTAGAGCTTGGTCTAGGCCACCTTTGTCCAACCCTGCTGAGAGCGTCCCTGTTTACTTAAGGTCATTTCTCATCCTCAGTATTGCTTACTCAGCATGAAAAGCTACCATTTTAAAGAAAAGTGGTTATGCACTCAGTAACAGCACTGGGTTGCACTTGGCAAGGTAATTTCCACATTTAAAGTTATTTGCACAGCCGCTGAATGGCATAATCCATCCTAAACTGGAAATGTCAAGGCCTTTTAGAGTGAATTTTTTTTTTCTGCCCAAATGCCAGTCAGACACTTCCCACTCTTGAAGAGTTTGGTGAGAGAAAAGGAAGAGTGAGTAAACCGCTGACCGGAAAAGTTTTTAAAAACATTTTTTGCACTTTTTTCTCATGGAGAAGGCCTTGCTAACATTTAAGAATAGCCCTCTTTAATCAGAGACTGAGGTTTACTTAACCATCGTGTTTATTTTTACAGCTGAGCCGCTGCCCCAAGCTAATTGTTTTCTTTTTTATCCCAGAGGGCAGTCTGTTTTCCTGCTGCAGAGTTCTCAGGAGAGTCACTAACTCATTAGTATACTATGTAGAAGCTTTTTTTCCATTTTTAATTGGTCAAAGAAGCACTGTTTAATTACCGTTGCGTTTGTCCTAAAAAGGAAGAGCATTGAAAAGCTGTCACTGTGGCTTTTGTAGATGGCTTTTAATTAGGAGCTTAGAGGTACCCTGTGGTCAAAGTGTCTTCGTCTTGCCTTGTCCTGATAGGGACTCACCACAAGGGAACAAGGCAGAGTTCCAGTGGTTCCAGAAATGAAGAGTGGTTACTGGTAAAACTGTGGGTCGACAATATTGGGTGACGTTATCGGCCATGCAGTATATCGATTGGGCTCTATTTCATCACACATCTATAAACGCACAGAGTCTGAATTACACAAGGGCATTGGGGCAGGGGCAGTGATATATATTTCTAGACACTTAGACTTGCTCTTCATAATGCATGAATATGCATGAGTACAGCTTGAAGCCACATTTAGTGTCAGCTGTTAAGAAGACCCCCACAAAACCCTTGTAATTCCCACCAAGCCCACAGTGCTAAGTACCATTAGTACTACCGTGCATAAGTTCTGTACATGTTTTTTATTGCCTGTCTGTCTAACTTAACATACTGCAACACCTCTAGTCACTCTAGATGCGTGCACACACACACACACACACACACACACACACACACACACACACACACATCACCGCAGCTGTCAGAACAGTCCTAGAGCCAAGAAACCGCACTCAAACTGAAACAAAGTGTCTTGCCACAGGCTAATATTAACTCAGTTAAAGGGTCCGGAGGAGTTATAAAAGCTGGTGTTTGTTGTTTGCATGGTTTGGCGCTAAATAGTTTGCAGACCAATAGAAGCTGTCAACCCTTTGTTTCCCCCCAGTGATCCATGGCGGTGTTTTAAGTCTGTTGTCTAAAAGGGAAGCCGTAAACTTTCCATGAATGCCTTGAAATAATACATCTTGGCCTGTGGTGTGAGAAATGCTTCAAGAGAGCTTTTTTTCTTTTTTATTGAGTAGGATTGTCATATGGCCCCATTTAGGCCTCGCTGTGAGCTCCATTTTTCTGTCAAAGTCAAATTGTTCTTGTTGACTGTTCATAGCAGCCATGCATCAATGTGTATGCCAGTGTATGATGCACGCTTGTGCATATGTTTGTGTCTTTTCTCCATAGCTGTCTGTATGGCTGGCAGGGCCTGTATTGTGATAAGTGCATCCCTCATCCTGGCTGTGTGCATGGAACATGTGTAGAACCATGGCAGTGCCTCTGTGACACCAACTGGGGCGGACAACTCTGTAACAAAGGTGCTCGATTTCTCTTGTGTGTAAATAGAGCAGTGCTAATTCAAGACCCACTTTTTAGTTCCCTAAAAGAAAGAACCTTTCAGTGAAGCCATTGATACTAATTCATCAAAATCTTTTTGCCATCTTTACTTTTAAGAATTTACTCTTATTGAACATTTTGTCAGGTTCACCTACCATATAGTTGCTTTGTTTATCTACAATTACATTTGTTGCTGCGCAGTTTATCAGCCACCCCATCAATCAGTGCAAATGGACCACCATAGCATCACAAAATATTGTTTTGGTGGTGATCATTTTCAGCACAACAGTGACACAGACATGGTAGTGCCATTTTAACAGGTGTTATGTAGTTATGAGTGTATTTCTGATAAAATGACCACTGAGTATAGGTACACCAAATAAATATGCAACTTGACTTGAATCAAGGCTCAATAGGGGAGCCCATCCTTCTTGGGTGAACAACACACAGCAAACCAATAATACATCATGAGCAGTGTGAATAAAGAATAAGATAATGAATTTACTATAGTGAATATTGAATAAATAAAAAAATTGTTGTGTCATTGGACAAAAGTATTTAGATTAACCAATGACAACAGATGTCTACAGTTGGTGGCCTAGAAGAGTAACAGATGATAAAGAGATATATGAAAACCACTTACAACTGTAGAGCGCATATAACAATGTTTTATTTTCTCAGATTTGAACTACTGTGGCACTCACCAGCCCTGTCTGAATGGAGGGACATGCAGCAACACAGGACCAGACAAATATCAGTGTTCCTGTGCTGACGGCTACTCTGGAGCCAACTGTGAGAGGGGTGAGCTCATACATCCATGTCTTTTTATTGAAATACGACTAGAGAAGAGCTCCAATAATGCATGCCGAGCTCTGAAAACGACCTGGTTCAGTTGAAGAGGACTTTTTTGGATTTCCTGGCCAGGAAGTAAACAGTAGTGAGAGGCATTTAAACCATTTTTGCTTTTTGAATATATAATATAGAAAATATTTATTTTTTATAAGAAAAACAGGTTTTACATTCTGTTCATTTACATTTTCCAGAAACATGCATGGAACACTGGTCCCTCAAGAACATGCTTTAGGCAAAAGCTTGTACTGTGCTCATAAGACACGTTTTAGAAAGCTCTACACCAGTTTTAGAAAGCCTGTAAACAACATGTGCCAACTGTCACCCACCCAGCTTTGTAGCAGAAGTCTGAGCAGGACCAATTTTTTTAGTTCCGCTCCTGCAATGTTAAACCCACGCCCGTTTTCTGGTGAGAGATCAGGATTTGTTAGGTGTCTTCTCTGACGGTTTAGGGCATGGATGGCGAACTGCAGTCCTGGAGGGCTTGAGTTCAGCGCAGTCTCGTCATTTTCTTGCTTTTAATACACCTGCTAAACCTGGCATTGGCTGCTGAGTTGAATCAGGTGTGTAGGAAAACCACCAAACTGTGGAGGATTCCGGCCCTCCAGGACGGGAGTTTGAAGCCCCTGGTTTAGGGCTCCCAGATCAGCTAATCCTCTGTTATGATCCGGACTGCCTGTGGATCTCAGTTGTTTTGACAGTCAAGTGGCAGGATGGGTGTAGTGATGAAATCTGCCAAATGGGTCGTCACAGTGCTTTTCTCGAACCTCCGCTTCCTCCCACCACCTCCACCTCATGACCTTCTCTAAAGCCTTCTGAGTGCTGACGGCAAGGTCAGGCTGCCCCATGTATATCCCTGTGGTTACAGTCAACCACCTTAATGTAGGTCTCTACCAGTCGGTAGAGTTTAAGCAAGAGTCATTAATTCTTAACTATGATGAAAGATTATCTCCTTCCCATTTCACATAGAAGAAAAGGGGAGCAGTAGGGTAACAGTCACTGTGCATTGGTCAGGTCAGCTTGAGCATGTGTGGCAAGACAATTTAATTACTGTGTGAGTGGCAGAAGCCTTCATTAGCACACATGTCTTTCAATGGAAAAGGTATGGTTGAGTGATATGATGGTATATTGTCATCATAAAAATATCAGGACATCAGTTTGTGCTTTTCTGAGCACACCTCAGCTATTGTTGGTACTTTTAGAACACTGTCAAACAGTGTACAGGTTTAGGCAAATTATAGACCTTCAATAATTACAGTGAATAATAAAAAAAGGAATTATTGTACTTAAATGGCCTATAGCATGGAGAAGCAAATTTGTACTTTTATTTTATGTTTTAAAAAAGAGTTTAATGTATATTTAAAGTATATATTATATTTATATAAGTTATATAAATATTGTTAAAGTCAATGTCAAAATGTACCATTTCCCCCCCAGTCCTTATGGTCCATACATGGAAGTGAAACTATGAAGCCATTTTTATTCACTATTTTGGTAATGGGACAAATAAACAGTGCATTCCAAATACATATACATATGCACATATAAATTTATATATATATATATATATATTATATATATATATATATATATATATATATATATATAAATAAATATATACATATATATATGTGTGTGTGTGTGTGTGTGTATAAGCAGTCACACTCCTTATAAGTTCAGCATGGCAAAATGAATGGACAAAGTTTTCATCTTTATAAATGAAACAAGTAAGAGTTTAGCATGGATGTGTTGTGTTCACAGCGGAACGTGCCTGCCTTTCCAACCCGTGTGCTAATGGTGGAAGCTGTAAGGAGATTAGTCACGGTTATGAGTGCTCATGCGCAGCTGGCTGGAGCGGCCCATCCTGCAGTATCAGTAAGAATGTTAGATACATAGCCATAAACACATATGTCTGTCTCTGCAACTGTACGCTTGGTGATTCATCTTTCCTTTTTTGTTTTCATAATTGCACATTATTTTGCTTAGGGGAGAACCCTGTGAAAGAATGCAGTCAAAACAGGATTGCTTTCTCAGCTTTGACTGTTGATTGAATTTCACATACAGGCAAAATGTAGTTGCACTGCAAAAAATGATATCTTGGTAAATGACACCATTGTAAATCTAGCCAATATATCTAATATTTCCTAAAAGTATTTTAAGACTATTCAATGTATTAATAGATTTTTTGACTTCATCTAGAACAAAAATGTCTTATTGTATTGGAAGACATAATGCAAATCATTTAGCTTCTTTCAGGAAATAATGCCTCAGGGAAGAACACTCTGCCAATAGAAGAAGGCAATATCACTAAATAAAAATGGTAACACTTTATATAGAAAGATGCTTACCTTGCATTTAACCTCAGCTAATTATCTATTAAATTTGCTTATTTTTCACTAATCCTGGACCTGACCCTAATCCTAAACGTAATCTTAACCTGATCATAACCCTAATAATCAACTGAATCCTGAGCTATTACCAGATACTTTAGCAATATAAACCTCTGTAGATAATCTATTGGGGGTTGTCCAAATAAAGAGGAACTGACTTTAAACTGACTTAATCTGCAGATCAGCTATATAGAATATAACACAATCTCAAAATAAGGCATATTAAATAAGTATGCATGTTCTAGGGTTGTGCATGATTCTGACTGTAAGACTGTGCACAGTTTGTTATGGTTTAGTTAGGTCCATTTTTATTGTTTCACCTTTTAAAAGTTTTAATTAATCATCAAAATAAGGGCACTAAAGCTGTGAAACTCAATATATTGACAGAATCTTGGGTAGGATGTATTTACTAATAGGATATAGTATTTTGATTTGTTTTTCTCTCCATCATCCACAGTTGATAAACATCTGTACATTCACTAATACACACTTGGCTTGCATATTTGTTGTGTCTAACCTGACCTCTTACTCTATAGATGTAGATGACTGTGCACCAAACCCATGTAACCATGGAGGCACTTGTCAGGATCTGGTTAATGGATTTAAGTGCAGCTGCCCCTCACAGTGGATTGGCAAAACATGTCTGATCGGTGAGAACGCTCAAACAAACAAGAAAGAGTTTAAAGGGCCCATTTTCTTCACTTTTCTGAAATTAAACATTTTAATGTTGTAGGTTTCAAATGTGGCATTCTCTCCACAGTCCATATGGTCCATTTATAAAAACAAAGCTCCAAAAAAACAGTTGTTTTTGTGATGTCACAGAAACCAACACATTAACTTATATCCACTGATTCTGCCTATAGCAGTTAAGCCCTGCCTTTTAAAGTAGTAGACTGCTTTTGGAATGAAGTACAATGCAGGGCTACCAGTCAGATCAGAGATCTGCTCACAACAGTAACAAAAACAGCCCGTTTAATTGTTAGGGATAAAGAGAAGCTTAAGAAATGGCCATGTAAAAATTAATTATGCCCATTTGTGCTACATAAACCCACACAAACATAAGGGGAAAAATCAAGAAAATGCAAGAAAAAATTTAAATATGGGTCCTTTAAAAACCTCCTCTTGATATTTTAAATATGCATGTTTCTTCAGGTTTTCATTATTTTTTATATACTTTTCATTTATTTTATATATATATATTTATATATATATATATATAAAAAGATGCCAATGAGTGCGACGACAAGCCTTGTGTGTACGCAAAATCCTGCCGCAACCTGATTGGTGGATATTTCTGCGAGTGTCTCCCAGGGTGGACGGGTCAGAACTGCGACATCAGTGAGTTGGCAAGCTTTGGCTCCTTTCTGTCTCCTGTCTTTCAGCTTTATCAATCAGTTGGCTAAACCCTAAACTTGTGCCTTTCAGTTGATTTAAACAGAAGAAGCATGTTATATCCAGTGATGAAACTAATGGGACATTAAAGGCAGCATCATGGGACGGTACTCATAATCAAACCACCTGATGATGTGTAAGCTGGACTAATATCCTTAATCATTAAATGGAAGAAAGCTAAATGCAGAAATGCCTTGAATTAAAAAACGACTTTTGGGACCTTTCCTGACTCATCTTTCTCTGACAATAACCTGGCTAGCATCCAGAAGTGCCATCACGTGAATGATGAACTAAAATCAAATTGGCTGAGCTTGAAAACACAGCATGCTTACAGCTTGTTAGCCAACAGAACTACTGACTTCAACTGACAAATTTATGTGCTTTATTGCAATAGTAGTGCTGGAAGTACATACACATAAGATTGTGAAATTTTAGAAACATTTTAAAAGAAGTGATGTAATCATGTTTGGGCATAAAAGCAGCATCCAGGAAAGGCCTAGTCCTTTATGAGCAAAGATGGGTTGAGGCTCGCCAAAATACAATCCCTTTTTCAAAAAAGTTGGGACGCTGTGCAAAATGTAAAATAAAACAGAATGCAACCCTAATTGAAAATACTACAAAAGCAAAATTATGAAAGGTTGAAACAGACATGCAGTCAGACGAATTGGATATGCTAAATTGCCCCTAGGTGTGAATAAGTGTGAGTGTATTTGTCTGTGTGTCTGCCCTGTGATGGACTGGTGTCCAGGGTGTTTCCTGCCTTCTGCCCAATGACCAGTGGGATAGGCTCCAGCACCCCTGTGTCCCAGGAGGATAAGCGTCTTAGCTAGTGTGTGTATGTGTGTGTGTGTATTATCTTGGCTGATGGAAACTGCATGTTTGGAATGCAGAGTAGTTGAGCTGTATAACAGTTGCAGTTTCAGTGATTTGTAATGTTAAATTCAAAAAGTGGAGATCACGTCTCTTTTGTTTTGCAGATATCAATGACTGCCAGGGCCAGTGCCTGAATGGAGGAACCTGCAGGGTAAGGCAGTTTCAAGCCCCTTGAGTTACTATAAACATCATTGTTGTTGGCAATGTTGATGCAGGAAAATGTGTCAATGTTTATGGCATTTAGAGTGTGTTCCTTCCAGTGCTTAGTCCTTCAGACCACTCCCCCACTCTAGCTTTTTCCCTTTTTTGTCTTGAATTGCAAGGTTTGATTAAACTTATTCTTAAATTGAGCTTTAACTAAATTACCTAGCTATCAGGCAATTCCAAAAGTTTGAAACAGAATAAAATATAAAATTGCAAAAGTTATTAAAAATTAGAATAGCTAAGTTGAATACTTCAGTAGAAGTAAACTCAGAATAGACTGAAATACTGCAATGAGAAATTATTTGTAAATTAGTTGTAATCCATTTCTTGTTTTTCATTATACCATTGAAAATGTGACTCATTTCCATCATTAATGCTCTGTTCCCTCTCTGTCTAGAGTGGCTTCCTAAATTATCCCATTTGGTGATTATGATTCATCTCTTCTCTCTCAGGATTTAGTGAACGGCTACCGTTGCGTCTGCCCGCCTGGATTTTTGGGCGAGCACTGCGAGAAGGACATTGACGAGTGTGCAAGCAGCCCTTGCCTAAATGGAGGCCGATGTGAGGATGAAGTGAATAGCTTTCAGTGCCTGTGTCCTGCTGGTTTCTCTGGTCAACTTTGTCAGGTAACAAAAAATTTTGGCAAGCCTACTACTCCAGCCTTGTTCACACATATCAGGATTTCCGAAGACACAATTGTTTTCCTCTATGTTCTGCAACAAAAAAATCTTTCCACAGGAGAACACGAGATTATTTGAAAATGCTCACATGATCATGCCAGGAGGAGTTTGTGATAATAGAGCATAAAACTTGTCAAATATTTTGAGGTGAAGAGATATTTCATTGAAATATAAGCACAAAGTTTCATAGAGTGCATGACACTACAACACAATGGTGTATTCAGTAAACAAAGAACAATGTAAACAAGGGAGATTTATATGTGCAGACTGATGAGGTAATGGTAATGTATGATAAATGATGTAATCATATAAATCCATATAAACCATACAGAAACAACACAGAACAGCAAGTATCTTCAAAAAGAGACATTCATGCATTGAATTCTGAAAGATCTCTAACCTGCAGAGCATTTTCCAAAAGCTCTGGTGTGAACAAGAGGACAAAACTTGTTGAAAAAGCTACATTTTCAGAGTATACGTATGGTAGAGCCCGGAATGTGCCCCTCTGTGGCTCTACTTGCTTTAAAAATAACCCAGAAGGTTTCTTTGGAGCAGTACTGTAGATTAACCACTTTTGATTCTGTGAATAAACAGTGGATGGTTTTTAAAAGAAGCATTTTTTGTAAATAAAAGTATGAAGAATCTTTTTAAAGTTTAAAGAACCATGACATAATGGAAATTCTCTACACCAATTAAAGATTTTTCCTAGAATTGTACATCTAAGTGATTTAGGAGTCTTTATTTTTAACTTGGAACTGTTTCGGAACCTTTTTTTTTGTAGCTTTTTCGAAAGGTCTTACAAATCACACACTCACCAAGCGTTCACCAAGCACTGAGAGAGAACAGCAGACTCTGCCTGTTTCTCTAAAATATTCCTCTTACTTGTTTTCATTCTCCTGAGCATTTCACTGTGCTGTTTCCTGGCAGAGCCAGTAGGGAGGATGCTGTGGGTTTTTCTGTTTTGTAAGCCTCCAAAAATGTCTGGATATCGCTTTCCCCGCTTTCATTTAGGCCTTTTTTCTCTCCGTTTCTCTCTCTTTCTTCTCAAAAATTTCTCTTCTTTAGCTCGATATTGATTACTGTCGGCCCAGCCCCTGTCAAAATGGTGCGCTGTGCTTCAACCTGGCGTCTGACTACTTCTGCAAATGCCCGGATGACTATGAGGGCAAGAACTGCTCTCACCTGAAGGACCATTGCCGCACCACTTCGTGCCAAGGTGAGGCTTTCTATCCACCCAGGTGATCTTCTCACCACCCCTCCTTATACCCTCATAGGCCTGCAGTAAGGTGATCTGTTTGTTGCATGGCATTTTTAAGCTGCTTCCTGAGGGAATAACACGGTGGAGGCGTCATATTGGGTTTCATAAGAGTGTTTAGCCTCAGTCTGCCAATATGAGCTATTTTGCAGGAACTCTTCTACACACACACGCACATGCATACTTTCCAAGATCTTCCTGAAGGTCTGGCAATGTCCTTACAGCTCTGTGTGTGTTCTTTCTGGTAATGGCTAATGCCTTGGTGGGTAATGTGTTTTGGTTGCAGCGCTGGTGGTTTTGTGGCTGTGTGAGGCAGACCAACCACACAGCTAGATAAGCCTGTTGTGCCACTCTTTTGGCTTAGCCAGGGAAGATCACTAATGTTTGTTATATAGCCATATCATCCATTCTCATGTCTATGGGAGCAGACAGGGAGAAAAGAAGATTGCTATTAGAATGAAGCAGAAAAAGATTTTAATAAATCATCAAGGTGGCAGTTGTTGAGTCATTCAGAGTGGTTTGTTGTGAAATGGTGCATTGTAGAGAAACTCATATTTTTTGTGAATGACGAAGTTAGGAACCAGGGGTTACAGTGTCTACAGTGCAAATATAGCCATTTTATTTACTATCCAAAACCACCAGTGAACCTACAACTGTCTTCTGAGCTTTTATATGTAATTCTTATATTGGCAAAATTTGTAGCTTTAGACCTTAAAAACGTCATCCTTTGGGTACTATACTTTACCACACCCTGTGCAAATGCAAACAGTTCTGACTCTGAGAGTTTGTGTAGAGTGGAGCATTTCCCATCAAAGCACTCTGAATGACTCGAGTTTACATCTTAACAATTTCATTATGCAGACATTCAGAGAAAAAAACAAACTTTGACCTCTTTTTTTTCTCCCTGTCCATTAGTGATTGACAGCTGTACAGTAGCTGTTGCATCCAATAGTACACCAGAGGGGGTGCGCTATATCTCCTCCAATGTGTGTGGACCTCATGGGCGCTGCAGGAGCCAGGCCGGGGGGCAGTTCACCTGCGAGTGTCAGGAAGGCTTCAGAGGCACTTACTGCCATGAAAGTAAGACTGAATATTTCCATTGCACTATTCATCAGAGCTAGGGTGGTGCGATGGCACAGTGGGTAGTGCTGTCACCTCACAGCAAACAAGGCCTGGGTTCGGTTCCCCAGTTGAGTGACCAGGGTCCTTTCTGTGTGGAGTTTGCATGTTCTCCCCTTGTCTGCATTGGTTTCCTCCCACAGTCCAAAGACATGCAGTCAGGCAAATTGGACACGCAAAATTGCCCCTAGTTGTGAGTGTGGATGTATATGTCTGTCTGTCTGCCCTGCGATGGACTGGTGACCTGTCCAGGGTTTATCCGGCCTTCTGCCTAACGATCGCTAGGATAGGCTCCGGCACCCGCCCCGTGACCCAGAAGGAAAAGCGGTTTTGAAAGTGTGTGTGTTCATAAGAGCTGCATTAACTCCAAACAGTTACTTTGGCCGTGTACAGGCCATCCTATTTTCCAAGCAGAATTTCACGTTTACGTTTGCTTCCATGTAAGTGACATCTATAATCAAATTTATCCAGACTTTATGATAATATATCATTTTATCAAACAGCAACATGATTGTAAAAAGGTCAAGTGATAAAAGAATTTTACACATTTGATTAACTTGTTCGCCTATTTATCAGTAACTACGTTACTTTTTAAACTACTTTACTTTTTTTTATTACTAACGCATATTTTATTTTTCAGATATAAATGATTGTGAGAGTAATCCATGCCGAAATGGTGGGACGTGCATTGACAAAGTGAACGTGTATCAGTGTATTTGTGCTGACGGCTGGGAAGGGGCCCACTGTGAAATTAGTATGTCTTTTTTTCTTGCAATAAATCTCTTTTTTTCCTATACCTGTGCATTTAGACCTAACCAAAATGTCTTTCTTCCTATCTGCCAGACACAGATGACTGCAGCTTGAATCCCTGTCTAAACAAGGGAACATGTCAAGACCTGGTGAATGACTTTTACTGCGAATGCAGAAATGGCTGGAAGGGAAAGACTTGCCACTCACGTAAGAGTCTTTCTCTGACCCAGCCAAATAAGAATAGGGTTGTCACAATACAACTATTTGATACTGATACCAAGTGTAGTGTTTCAATGCTTCATACCAAAATGATGCTGTGGGAAAAAAAAAATTAAAAACTAGTCATCATGAACATTGCAGTGTTTATTCAATTTAACAAATATTCAAATAATTATCAATAGAAAACTCTTTAAGTGATAAATAAGTGAACTAAATCATTTAACATTAAAGCTGCACTATGTAAGTTTTGGTGGTTTGGAATCCTCTCTAGTGGAAAAGTGTAGTTGCACACACATACAAAACAACATTTTGTAATGTATGTTGTGCTTCAGATCCCTTCCCTGATGAATCTCATTTGCGAGCACTTTGAAAGAGTGTACAAAGAGAAGTTGTTGAAGGAAATGTCTCCTGAGGATTTGAGTGAATTATCTTCATAACTTCATCAGTGTGATACTGATTTTGCATTTCTGACCTAAACATTGAACCAGACTTTCTTTTTGAGCCTGTGCATGTGACATTAATATGTAATGACACATGACGCGGTCTAAAAAACTCCCGCCTTGACACCTCTGACTTTTAAATTATTATTTCATACTTTACAGGGCAACTTGCAGCAGCACATGCACACCATATTGTAATGTGTTTGTTCCTTCTGACTCAGTAATGCTACTTGTTTCAATTTTAATCAAACAAATTCATAGTGCAGCACTATGCAAGAATAGGAAGTAAACATCAGTATTAGCCTATTTAAAAACTTATTGAAAGGTAAAGTATTGCATTGTTTAGCAGTTTGCAGTACTGAAAAAAATCATTAAATTTTTGATACACTGTGCGAACTCACTAAGAATGTTTCATTTCAGGTGAGAGCCAGTGTGATGAAGCCACATGTAACAATGGAGGTACCTGCCATGATGAGGGGGATACCTTTACATGCAGGTGCTCACCAGGCTGGGAGGGTGCAACTTGCAACATAGGTGAGTTCAGTTGATTGGTTTATAAAGTTGGTGCACAAAATGCCATAAACCCCATCTCTGTAAGCTGTACTCCATCAGTATTCCCTTAGAGCTTTAAGTGGGCCTGAAAATTTGGTCCAAGCCAGACAAAATTCAGTTTGATGCCAACAACCACAGCAACAAGCAGCATCTAATTATCAGCTATCCAAAACGCAGTTTAAATGTCACTGTGTAACGCGACAGAATGACACAGACGCTTGCGGGTAAGTGAACGAGAGGCTTTACTAGTCAAAACAGAATCCACAATCGTAGTCAAGTCACAGGCACTGGTCAAATTCAGGCAATATACACAAAAACACAAATATAACCAGGCGAATAGTCCAAAAGGGATAAAGCAAAAGGCAGGTCAAAAAACAAGGGAAAACAGGTCAGAACAGGAATAAACAATCAGAAATAAAGCTCAGTAGCTCTGTGGAAAGAAGCAATACCTTGCAATGAATCTGTCTACAAGCCCGGGCTTTAAACTAAACTAATCAGAGAAGAACAGGTGAAACAAATCAGTACTCTGGGGAACTGGAGTGCTGGTTAGAGCATGAGAGTAAGGCTGGCGTCATTTGATCTTCCAGGGAATTGTGGGAGATTGAGTCCAAAGAGAGTTCAGAGCCAAAGGGAGTCATGACAGTACCCTGCCCCTAAAGAGTACGGGATGGCCTCGGAATGAGGCTGGCCAGGATGACCACCACGCCCACGTCTGGAGACCCGAATAGGAGCAGGACCCGACCTGCCTTGGTTCTGGACAGATGCGATCTGTCTATGACGACCCGCAGAGGCACATGACGTGGACCGGAGGGCACCTTCTGTGGACGGCCCCTAGGTTGAGGAGCAGGTTTCTCTGGGTGATGGCTGTGAAAGTCCACTATCAAACCGGGATCCAGTACATCCCGTGCAGGAACCCAACACTGCTCCTCAGGGCCATATCCCTCCCAATCCACAAGGTACTGGAGTACACCTCCACGTCTCCGGGAGTCCAGCAGCCTGTGGACAGCGAACACAGGCATTCTGTCAATCTCCTCCGGAGGGGGCGGTGTGACGTCCGGCGTAGCCTCGTCCAGGGGCCCTGAAATAACAGGTTTCAGTAAAGAAATGTGAAAAGAACGTGAGACTCGGAACCTGGGGGGCAAATCCAATTTATAAGTCACATCGTTAAGTTTCCTAAGTATTTTAAAAGGACCAGTGTATTTAGGGAGTAACTTCCTACTTCCCTCAGATGCTCTGAAATCCCTGGTAGACAGCAACACTGAGGCTGATAGATAGGGGTTTCTCCTCTATGGCGGTCAGCTTTCTCCTTATTCTTTGGAGCGCTTCCTCTATTCGCTGATGGGTTTCCTCCCATAAGCTTTCACTTCTCTGCCTCCACGCATCAACAGCATTAGTGATGGCGTCAGCGGAGGCTGGTAACCCAGGACACACTGAAAAGAGTTCTGCGCTATTTCTGCCCATAAAAGAAACTTAGACCAGTCTGAGGAGTTGTTTAAACAAAAGAGTCTGAGGAACTTCCCCAATTCCTGATTCATTCGCTCACATTGTCCGGTTGTGGATGATACCGGACGTCAGACTGATTGACACTCCGACATGCTCAAAAAATGCGGACCAGACTTGCGAAGTGAACTGGGGACCTCTATCTGATAAAATATCTTCTGGGATGCCAAAAAAAAAACTGATTAAATAGAGCTTTGGCCATTTGGAAAGCCATGGGGACATTAGCGAATGGGATAAACTGGACACCTCTTGAAAATCAGTCTATGACTGTGAGGATAGTGGTGTAGCCCTGAGATTCAGGTAAATCAGTCACATAGTCTACAGCAATGTGAGACCACAGTTGAGCTGGGACTGGTAATGGTGCCATCTTACCTGCGGGCAAGGTCTTAGGCATCTTGCATTGAGAGCTAATAGTACATGAAGCAACAAACGAATGAACATTGCGGTTTATGGTCTCCCACCAGTAACTAGTTGAAATTAATTGCTGTGTACGTGTCTCTCCCGAATGACCAGATGTAAGAGAAGAATGGACCCAGGTGATTAATCTATCAGAAAACTGAGATGGTACGTAAAGTTTACCAGGACGGCAATGTTTAGGGACTTGGTTAGTTTACTAAGGCCTTTTCAATTACTTCATCTATCTCCCATTGAATGGTAGATACAGTCACTGTGGGAGGCAAGATAGGTTCAGGGCAGAAGATGCAGAAATCGAAGATCTGCTTTGGTGTTCTTTGAGCCAGGACAGTATGTAATGTTGAAGTTGAACCTAGCAAAGAATAGGGACCAACGGGCTTGACGAGCATTGAGTCGTTTAGCGTTACATAGATATTCTAGATTTTTGTGATCAGTGAGACGAGAAACGGATGCTTAGCTCCCTCTAACCAATGACGCCATTCTTCCAATGCAAGTTTAACTGCTAAAAGTTTGCGATCGCCAATACCATAGTTTCTTTCAGTGGGTGTTAAATTGTGTGAGTAGAAAGCTATTGGATAGAGTTTTAAAGGGTTACTGAAATGTTGTGATAATACAGCTCCAAAGCCTGTTTCTGAGGCATCCACCTCCACAACAAAAGGTTCTGAGGGGTCAGGATGTTTGAGGATAGGGGCCGTAGAAAATGCCTCTTTAAGCACTAAAAAAGTCTTCTCAGCTTGTTCAGCCCATTGAAAAAGCTTGGGATTACCTTTGAGCAGAGCAGTGATGGGGGCAGCAATACTACTAAAGCCAATAGAAATTAGCAAAACCTAAGAATCGTTAGAAATCTTTAACTGATGATGGTGTGGGCCAATTCAGCACTGCATCGACCTTTTTATCATCTGTTACGACCCCGTTGGAACTGATGATATAACCCAGGAATTAAACGTATTGTAAGTGGAATTCGCACTTTTCTCCTTTTATGTACAAATTATTGTCCAAGAGTTTCTGTAGGACTGTCTAAATGTGACTAATGTGGGACTCGAGATCTGGGGAGTACACGAGAATGTCATCAATATAGGCTATGGCAAATTTTCCTAACATCTCTTTGAGGACATCATTGATAAACGAGAGAGCCCAAAAGGCATTGCAAGATGCTCGTAGTGCCCCCTGGTGGTCACAAAGGCTGTTTTCCATTCGTCTCCTTCTTTGACATGAATGAGGTTGTAAGCACTCCTCAAGTCAAGTTTAGTAAAATATTTGGCTCCTTTTATTTGTTCTAGAGCTGAGGGAACTAGTGGAAATGGGTATGGATATGTTTTTGTGATTTTATTCAGACCTCTGTAATCTATGCATGGGCGGAGACCTCCATCCTTCTTTTTAACAAAGAAGAAGCCTGATGCTACTGGGAATGTTGAGGGTCGGATAAAACCCTGATCAAGAGCTTCTTGGATGTAAGTATCCATGGCTAGTTCTTCCTCTTGGGTAAGGGGATAGACGCGTGACTTGGGGAGTACAGGGTTCTGTACAAGGTCAATGGCACAGTCATATAGTCTGTGTAGGGGTAGTTTTGTGGTGTTGCCTTTACTAAACACCTCCTTGAGGTCTATGTATTCAGGGGGAATGGTTACATTATGTCATTCTGGGGGCTTTCAATGGATGTGGAGCTGACAGACAACTTGGGAGAAGAGAGACAGTTCAGGTGGCAGAATTCAGACCATTTCTGAACTTCTTGTTCTGACCAAGAAATAGTGGGATTATGTTTTTCTAACCAGGAATAAGTTCAAACCCTGATTGTTCTATGATGAAAAGGGCAAGGTTTTCAGAATGAAGAGCACTGGTTTGGATGAGTAGAGGCTGGGTCTTAGATGAAATGGCACAGCTACTCGCAGTGTCATTGGCAGGTCTTCTGTAGGAACTTGGAGTTGTTCAACGAATCAGAAATAGATGGAATTTCCTTCACCTCCGGAATCTATAAGGTCTGAAACAACAACAGACACTTGATGACAGTAGACAATGACAGGCAATAAAAACAACTTGGAAACCAACCTTTATGGGAACACTCACCACATTAGCACGTGGAGTATTCTCCATGTGCTTTCCAGAGGTCAGCACAGAATTTTTGGGCGGCCTGGTCCTGGAGTCCCATATTAAATGACCGGCACTACCACAGTACAAACAGAGGCCTTCTCTCAGCTGTCGGAGCCTCTCCTCCTTGGATGGATGGGAGGAGTCACACTGCATGTGTTCTTCACTTTCTTCATGAGTCAGGTGTTTAGGGGTAATTCGTGTTTTCACAATGTTTTTTCCAGGATTGTCCGTTCGTTTCCTGCCACGATTATTCAGCAGCTGATCGAGGCGGACAGAAAGGGTTATTAACTGGTCTAAGGAAAGGTCATTGTCTCTACACGCCAGTTCTGTTAGAATGTCCGCATTTAGTTCCTGGAGGAAAATAACCAGTAGTGCTGCTTCGTTCCATCTGCTACTAGAAGCTATTGTGCAGAATTCCAAAGGATATTCTACTACTGAGCGGCGGCCTTGGCGGAGCTTGGTTAACATTTCACCACTGACTTGTCCTTCATGGGGGTGATCAAACACAATTTTAAATTCTCTTAGGAATTGGCTAAAAGACAGGTTGTGAATATGTGACCAACTTGCGGTGGCCCATTCTAAAGCTTTATCTGATAAACGAGATACAAAAAATGAGATCTTGGCCTGGTCGGAAGATTGAGTCCAAAGAGAGTTCAGAGCCAAAGGGAGTCATGACACACTGAGTCATTTAAAGGTTTACTAATCTACCATACCATAATTTAAAAAAATGTTTAAATAAGTAAATCAGTGGCCAATATATTGGAGTTAAAGTCGAAAACTACAACCGAAAAGTTTGTGCACTGTTTTTAGTGCATGCACCACCCTAAACACATGAGACTAGAAGTTTGATTCCCTGTTGAGGCAGGAGTGCCACTACTATGCCAGTAAGAGAAAGCAGTTGTATGCATAAGCTGTTGATTGTCTTCCTCTATAGAGAACACCTTTTTCCCCATTTTAATGTACAATTACTGTTAATTAATACAGTCAAAATGTTAAATTCACCAAATAAAAAGAAAATTGTGCAGAAAAATGCCATATTTAGGTGTGGTAAAGGATGTGTTAACTGTTTTCATATGTAATTTGAACCAAGATACTAAAACTTATGCATACGACTGTACATGCACACTGCTATACCAATAAGAGTCCCTGGGTAAGTGACTTCCAGTGTTACGTTCACATGCTTTTGTGAGTGGATCTGGACAAGAATGTCTGCTAAATAATGTAAATTTTTACAGCAATCATTAAATTACTGATTTAGCTGTGCTATGGCAATATCAGTGATCTTTATTTAGAGTTTTGTCTCACCCTCACTGCATTTTATGTATGATTTATAGTGTGAACCATATAGTGTGAAAATGCAAAAAATCAATTATTGGTTGTTAGTATCAATATCAATGAGTTGTTCTTGTTATCATAGTAACATAGTAGTTACCCCTAGTAATAGAAGTGAACTGACAACAAAAGAAGAGAGAAAAGACAGCCCAAATGCTTTCAGAGTTGGGAGACATATAACAAGAAATATGTCAAACTCTAGGGTGAACTGAAAAAATTTCCCTTCATAATCACAAGGGTCAAGTAGTTAAAGTGCAAATAATGTTTATGTGTGAAGTTGAGAAATTTTGACGGGAAGGCTTTGACCTTTTCTTCTCTGTGCTTCCTCTACAGCAAAGAATAGCAGCTGTCTGCCCAACCCTTGCGAGAATGGAGGCACCTGTGTAGTTAGTGGCGAATCTTTCACCTGTGTGTGTAAGGAAGGTTGGGAGGGTGTCACCTGTTCCCAGAGTAAGTATTGCTTCTTTGAGGCAGCACCAAGAGAGTCAGCATTTTTTAGGGTAAAGGAGAAAGATGCTTGCTGAATGACTAAAATATAAATAGATCATCTGATATTTGTCTTTAATCTTTTCTTTATGTGCTCTGTTCCCGAAACAGTTGTTGAGTAAAGCAGTGTGCCTTCAATGTGCCTTCTTATACACTACAAAAAAGATATTTTGACAAATCAAAGCTTCTTAAATGCAGGCAGAATTTGTAATAATTCTCACTTTTATCTTGTTCTAACAATATGGGAAGCTTGGTCGGTCAATTTCTAGACCTTCTTTAATGCACCAGCAGATAATTTTACTTATATTACATAATATTAGATGTATAGTCTACATTTAAGATGTTTTCTCTTAAATCTTTTTTGGTAATGCAGACTTTGGTTTACTTGCTCGTTTGTTTCCGTTCTTCTTCTTTGCTCACCTTCCTCTTATTCTCTCTTTCTTTGACTAAATATTGTAGACTGTCGTTGGCAATGAAGGAGAATAGGAAAAAAAAATTAAATGAGGAAAATGGAGACAGATGTCCACAACCCCCAGCCCACCCCCTATGGTTCTTTTTCTCTGCACATTCTTTTCCTGTCGTCCTCTATATCTCTGACTCTCACTCTAGCCTAGTCATGTGTAAAAGTGAAAAAAAGGCTGTGAAGTGCTTGTCATTGAAGGTTAATATATACATTTTGTCACTAACACAGATGCCTGTTTTAAGGTGCTGAAAATACTGGTTAATACTGACAGTATCAGCTAATGTAATTTAATGTGATGAAAAATTTAACACCATTAGTTTTAGTTGAACTTGATGTGATTGGCAGCTTTAAAAGGCCACAGGTAATTATCAGTTCTCAACTGTCCCAATTTTTAAACACCAACTTGCAAAGTCTTAAATAATATAAATAGTGCCGGGGGTGGAGCTTCCCAGTATTCTTTGCAGTTGTTAGGATCTGTACATCAGCTCTTATTATTCATCTGTCCTCTTCACGTAAAGTTTTTTTTTGTGTTATAACATTATCCTCAGGCTAAAGGTTAAGTGTGACTGCAGCAACAATTCAGTGCTCATATTAACCAGTTCCACCTGTATTACAGCGATAGAAGAATGCAGGTGGTGACTGTGAATTTAGCACTTTAGGAATTTAAAAAACATTAAGTTCTCAAAAGTGAATAACTGTCCTCTAAGGTGTCTGTTCATTACAACGTAAAACAAGCTGCTTAATACTGCTTTATTGCTCAGCCAGTTATATCAGTTAGACTCTAGTACTTTTAAGAGGCAAAGGAGGTCTGTTAATAATAACGTCTTTGCACACACACAAGCTTTGACATGTTCTATGCTGTACTAACGTGGAAAAAAGCAAAACTCATTCTCACTCTTTCTCTTTCAGATACCAACGACTGCAGTCCACACCCATGGTAAGTCCAGGCAAATCGTTTTTTGTGCACACAGCCTGCTGCTGTAAACAAGCCTGTACAGTTGTGCAGAACTTTCTCACACTCTGCAGGCAGTGTGCTGGGAAATAGGCACGCCCTTTTTTTGCTGTCATTCCAAAGGTGCGCTCAGCCCTGCTGTCTACCGTGCACGCCGCTCGACTTCCTGCTTCAACTGATCAAGAGATCGTTTAAGTTCAGTTCAATGTGAAAAAAAAGAGAAAAAAAGAGAAAGAAAAATAGCTCATTGCGCTTTGGGCATTGCTTCTTAAGGGGGAATTCCACTGTAAAGTATCAAATTCAACATCAGAATGACTCATGCCTGCACTGGTAAAAGTTTTGTTGAAATGTCTTCCTGAATTATAATGTATAAGGGAGGAAGTTTTAGCATTACCGTGATCATTTTCTCTCTCCCTTTCTTTGTTTCTTTCCCTCTCTAGCTACAACAGTGGGGCTTGTGTAGATGGAGAGAACTGGTACCGGTGTGAGTGTGCCCCAGGCTTCGCTGGCCCTGACTGTCGCATAAGTGAGTGTGAGCCTTATGAATGATGGGGTCCTTCAGCCACAGCCAATCCTGGCCCTGATTCTATCCTTCAAAAAAGTCAGGGTTGGGACATAATTGTCTAGCCAGCCATTTAGCCGGCCATTCTGGCAGAGTGCCAAACAAGCCAGCCAGCTCTGTCCTCATATTCTGAGTTCATAATTCCTAAAGGGAAAAGGCTTACAGCATCCAAAAAGCCATTTAGCCTTGGTGCTCAGCACTGATTAGAGTTCATTTGTCCCCTTTAAAAACTTTCATTTGGCCACTTAGCTCCTTATTATAAGACATACCTCAGGCTTTGCTGTTTGGTGCAGGCGTAACTGTAAATATAGCCTGCACTAATGAAATTACTGTCAGCTGAGCATGGTTATATGTTAGATCAAGGCTATTAAAGTTGGACCAGTTGCTCCGTCAGATGTCTTTCTGTAAAACATATTTTTTCTCTAGCTTTACTGCCTAATTACTCCCAATTTTTCCTGTTTGTGCTTCTAAGAAAGTAAAGGAAGTGTTTGTGGTTTCCTTCAGATATTAACGAGTGCCAGTCCTCACCCTGTGCCTTTGGTGCTACATGTATAGATGAGATCGACGGCTATCACTGCCTTTGTCCACCTGGACGAACTGGGCCTCATTGTCAAGAAAGTGAGCACAATCTTACACACCATCTTCTTTTATCACATAATCCAGTAAAGCACCAGGGTAACAAGACACTTTTTAGCCAGGTAGCAGAAAATCCCAAGCTGTGAGTTGACTGCTGTAGGTCCTGATCTGAGCTCCTTGTGTGTGCCAGATCACTTGCTCTGATGCGTTTTGTGGCAGGGAGGACAATTACAAGCTCAGTCCACAAGGAAGACAGAGTTGTCTGCAAGTGCTCATTGAAGGTTGTTTTTTCTGACCTTCCTTTATCTTCGTCTGTCACTCAGTCACAGGGAGGCCCTGCATTTCTGATGGAGGTCAAAGTACCGCTGATGGAGTAAAATGGGAAGAAGACTGCAACACCTGTCAGTGTCACAATGGAAAGGTCCACTGCACCAGGGTATGTATGATTTTAACCTACACACAAGGTTACAACCTACACACTGACCCATTGCTAAATGCCTTTCCCTAAATATTTTCTAGTTTTAGCTTAGCAACGTAACTAGATCCAATCTTTCAGAATTTTACAATATGCCGCAATGCTGTGCATGGGTGCTGCGACATATTATAGGGGAATCAAAAGGGATTCATTTCAACACAAGAAGAGTGGATCTGTATGAAACAGAGTGTCAGACCACTTAAAGCTATCAAAAAACTTCACAGAGAGCATGTACATCTGATCCAAGGTTTATAGGTTTGCTAACCTAACAAATCTAGCTAGTTAATAAAGTCTTTCTTTGTTATTGTGATCTCATTATTTAGTATCTTGGATTAAATACTGATTAGCTTTAGAGCAGGCAAATGGAGACCAGTGACAGCTCAGTCACTGTTTGCTAGCTAGCTATCACACAATTACCTGTTCTACTGGACAGGTATAATGTAGCTCCTTTGCTCTTTGAGACTTCTCTCTTTTTGAATTTAATCTGTAGGCTTCATTCTTTTAGCACCTTTAGAGTGATAATTGATTACAATGTTATGAATGTGGCCTTCAGACATATGCTGTAAACCTTTTCTTGCTACTCCTTTGCACAAATTTGGTTCTATTGCTTTAAAGATATTTGGCATGCACGATTTGAAAGCTTGTCAGACGTAGCCACAGATTTTGCAAGTGGTCACTTGTAATTCTTTTTAGGTTATAGAGTTTTTTTGTTGAATGCATAATGTGAAATGCTCTGTTGGGCTTTTTTTCCTCAGATGTGGTGTGGGCCGAAGTCTTGTCGGATTGGTAAAGGCCATGGCGGATGCCGGTTGGGCCAGTCTTGTATCTCCATCAAAGAGGAGCATTGTTTTGTGAAGCCCTGCCATGGCCTGGGAGAGTGCTGGCCCTCTGCGCCCCCTCCACCAAACTCCAAATGCCACCATAGCTTCCCTTACCAGGACAACAGCTGTGCCAACATCACGTTCACCTTCAGTAAAGAGACCATGCCTCGAGTGAGTCATCCTTTCGAAGTAGAGATTGACTTTTCTTATCTTGCTGTCAAATCATTCAGCCCATCTTTTCATTGTTAAATTGTTGAAAGTGTCTTCCGCATAATGCAGTGAGCAACACAATTTTATTGCAACAGGCACAACCTCAGCCACATTAGTCAGCCAAAAGGAAATTGCAAATTCTATTAGGTTATGGGTTTGACAAATTGTTGTTGTTGAAAAAATAATATTTGCTAATTTTGTAAAAATGTATTTTTTTAAAAGTTAGCAAATTCAGTTTTAACAAGGCACCAAAATACTTGCAGACACTGCTGTAATGCAAAAGGATACAGTTTTGAAAATGCTTTCTTCTGATGCCTGTAAAGGCAGGCTTTGCATCATGGAGAACACTCACTGGCTACCAAGCAGATGTGCTTGACTTGCTTGGGGCTGTATGTGGCATAGCTTCAGGGGGAAAGGCTCATTGAGTGTGCTGCCAACGTGATCACTTAAAGCACTCTCTGGACTTAAACTTAGGTCCCCATAGAAGGCTACCCTCTGCATTGCTGAAACTTTGGCCATTATGCATGGACATTGTATCCTTATTTGAACTGAGACATTCCTTAGTTAATATGCCGTAGCTGCACAGATAGAAATGCAGCACTGTAGCACCAAAGCAGTAATCATGCAAGTCTTGAGAAACAGTCAGCTGCCCACTAGCCAAGCATTCTTACGGCCAACCATTCTGAGCATGACAGAAATCAAGACTATGGAATTTAGAACCCATCCATCTTCTTTATTTACTTTTTTCCTCTCATCTTCACATATCAGCATTCATAAGAGATTTTTTATCTTTGTAGTACAAAGGACCTTGCTTTCAGTTACCATCGCTAACTGGTCCTAATAGCTTTTCTTTGTCTCTGCAGGGTCTGAGTATAGAACATGTGTGTAATGAGCTGAGACAGGTGTATGTAGTGAAGAACCTCTCCTCAGAGTATGGTGTTTCCATCGCCTGCGATCCCTCCTTCTCTGCCAGCAATGAGATCCATGTCAGCATAGTGAGTATACATCCTTTCATGTTTTCTGAAGAATTTCATGCATTAGATATGATGTAATCGAGATCTTGTCCATGAAAGGCTTCAGGTTTTTATTTCAAACAAGCAGAAGCACACCTTATTCCAGTTGTTTAATTAGTTGGTCTCAGTCTTCAAACTAGTGATTAGTTATATAAGGTTTGAATGAAAACTTGCCAACCTTTACATTGGCCCTTTTGTGGGTAAGATTGCTGTGTGATTGATTGATTAATTATTATTTTTTTGGTTACAAAATCACGGCTAACACATGCTCAGTTACTTTTCAAATTACTATTCAAATTCTTGTCTATAGTCAATCGAAGAGCCAAGGTTGGACAGGAGCCCCATTAAAGAGATCACTGATCGGATTATAGACCTGGTGAGCAAGCGCACTGGCAACAGCTCTATTATCACAGCTGTCACTGGAGTGCGTTTGCAGCAGAGGCAAAACCCCAGCAAAACAGGTACGAACCTCTCAGTAAAGGGGGATAAACAGTGAAAAAATGAGGAAAACAGCGGGTGACACCATTCCAATAACATCTATATTTCTGCAAATTGTAGTGCACAAATCTGTGTTTGCACGTAGCAACGAGCCCAGAATGATGCACTGACTGGTCCATGCCCGATTCATGAAACTGCCGTATGGCATCAAAACATGCAGAGATTTGTGTACTGATTTAACTTCAGCAACACTGAAACCAGCAACTGCAGCCTGATATAGTAGAGGATGTTAACTTTTCAAACCTTTCACTTTCAACTTTTCTATACAGCTGTATACATATGATTTATACATGGTTTAATTCATTCAGACGTTGCAGTAGTGAGCAAATAAAATGAAATCATTTAACAGATCCAATGGTTATTCTCAATAAAGAAATCCACCTGGTCACTGAATTCTTTCTTGCTATTTGTACTTACTTCTCAATTGAAAGACTACTGAGCTGATCAAGATTTCAGTTAGCAAATTTTGATTCAGATTCACCAATTACATGTTCACAGTATTTTAACAGAATTGGTTATCACGTACATGGATGCCTGTATCTGCACTTATTAACACTGAAATTTTGTATTTTTATGATTATGATTCAACCTCAAATTAAGCATTCTGAGTTTCTTAAAATACTACGCTTTAATTTACACACACTCTGACTAGACATGAGTTTATCGTACAGATATGCCAAAGGTAAAGGTTCTTAAAAAGTGCTGTATAAGTATCATGTATTATTATTATTATTGTTATTATAAATAATTATTATTAGTAATAGTAGTATTAAATAACAATGCTGCTAGTGAAATGTAATATAAATTTATTTTATTATCCACTTGAATGTTCTCAAGGGCCAGTCAAAGGCTAGTTTTTCAAACTATATTCCTGGAGATATAGCATTGCAGTATATAAACTTTGGTCCTTCAGTAGACTTAGATAGTAACATTTGGTCAAGAAAAGAGGGATGCCGAGCATGTCCATCATTTCAAATGTACCACATCTCTTTTTTTCCAAGTCAAGGCTTTGTTGTCATTTCAGCTATATACAAGTACACAGTGAAACAAAACAACATTCCTCCAGGACCATGGTGAACACAAGTGCAAAACAATACAATATACACAGTGCAGACAATACGACAAATATGAAAAACTTACAATAAATACAAAACAGAACAGAGGCAGTACGCAGCACCATTATTTGGACCCAGAGAGGCCACTGCGTGTGTTACCATGCCACCATCTTGGTCAAGCTTTGACATCTTTCTTAAAATGTACTGCCAGACATCTTAAATTCATATTCATTTCTGTGGATTAAAAATACTGAAACTGTTTATATTGTCATTATATGGAATCAAAAACTCTTACCCGGCTCATGGTAGAAACTTCACTTTGAGCTTTAGAGGCATTAACTGTCCTTGACAGTAATTCTGTATACACCATAAAAATGATGGCTTAAAGGTGTTTCCACAGCCATTGCCAACTAGGTCCCAGAAACTCTAAGGAGTCTTTAGTCATACAGGCTGTGGAATGTTACATCAGCTTTGCCAGCTGGACGGAGCATCGATTTGACATCAGGGTCCTCTTTGTGCATGCCATTCATCAAAATGCAGGGTGCTGTGCTGCTTCAACTAGTGCCAAATGGCATGCTCGCTTGGTAACTTGGGAATGATTCTTGCTAGTGTTCTGTGCAGACTGGCCATTTTAAGTGAGAATGAGCAAATTATTTGTCTCATTCCACAATACAAAGCTGTTACTGGGAAAATAATCATGTCCAATAATTTGGACATAAATGGACATAGATCCTGAATAAGGGTCAATTATGATCTTTCATTTTACTGTAGAACTGCCCTAAAATATGGCTGGAATATTTTCCTATAGTTTTTGTTGTCCAGTGTTAGGAATTACCAACTTTATATATGATGTGTTTATCACATGGCACAATTTTCAAGTTTGGAATCTCTTCTCATATTAATAGTATTTATTTAATTCAATAATATCTTCTACACATTGAAATATTGAAATGTGGTCAGCTAGACACCAGAAGGTATTTTAAGATATTTTATTCAATAATTTTAGGAAGGTTTTAGATTATAATATAATTATGATATATTTACAGTAATTCCTTTTTGAGGAAAAGTTACATGCCTTGAGATATGAGGCATTCTGGATGTCAATTTTATCATAATTCTCAATAATATTCAGCTTTCTTATTCATTAAAAAATATATATATATATACACATCTCAGTTCATCATTCTGAACACATCTAAAAATTTCTTTTTTTTTTTTTTAAACAGCTTCCTGCAAAGGAGTTGGACGTTTTGTAGAGTACTTGCATCATATTGATCATTTTATAAATGTACTTGCAACAACATTAGTTTTATATAATTGAAAACAGTGATTCCAAACATTTCAACTATAGTGATGTTTGGGAGACTTATTGCTTATAGAAGATATGTAGGTGCCAAAAATTTTTCAGACTAATTTTGTGTAAACTTGTGTGACATACAGTTCTGTTAATGTTTAGTAACCTCATTTTACCTTTTTCTTCTAGACTATCTGGTTCCTCTGCTCAGCTCCATCTTCATCGTTCTCTGGATCATGGCCTTTGTAATGTCCTTCCTGTGGTGCATTCGTCGCCATCGGAAACAGAATGCCCATGGCAACACAGCAGCCTCGGCCACTGAGGACAACACCACCAACAACGTGCGTGAGCAGCTCAACCAGATCAAGAACCCAATTGAAAAACATGCAGCCCACAGTGTTGCCATAAAAGACTACGAGGGGAAGAACTCGATCATTGCCAAAATTAGGACACACAATACAGAGGTCGAGGAGGAGGAGATGGAGAAGCACATGCAGAAAGCGCGATTCACCAAGCAACCAGCCTACACGCTAGTGGAGAAGGAGGAGCGAACACCCACCAAAACCCCCAACTGGACTAACAAACAGGACAACAGAAACTTGGAGACAGTGCACAGTTTAAACAGGATGGAGTACATCGTATAGCAGGCAACTGTGTTGCCACATGACCAAACCCCTCCTCAGTACTGATCACGCAGAGGCTTGAGGAGGCTGAATCATTTCAAACTGTTGTGTCATACCTTTGACTCTAAGGTTTATTATTTGCAGAGTCCCTGTGTTAATTTAAGTTCTGACAAGCTGGCTTACACTGGCTTACAACTGATAGTTGTTGTGGTTGGCTGGAAAAAACCAAAGTGCTGTATTTCACGTCTATGCAAAAACTAGTTTGCAAGTCTCTTCCTGCTTTACAAAATCACTACCAGCACCACATACATTTCCAATGTCTATTTTTGTGGATACGTTTGAGTATCTTTGAGTCTTTGTACTATTTTCAGATAGTCTTAAGGGTTTTTTTTTACTTTTATTATTATAATGACAATATCACTGCTCAAGTAGTTTTTTTCTATTGGTTGTCGGGGCTCTCTCTGGTTAGATTTTACTATTATTGTGTACTAAATGTGCCTGTGCAGCTCTGCACCACAGCAACGGTCAGACTTTTTTAACATGACAAAGGACAAAAAAAGATAAACGCAGAAAAATACACATAAAAATGTTATTTATTATTGCTCTTTTCTTGGTGCAGGATGTGTCTGTCTTGCCTGGGTCGAGACTGTCCAGAATGCGGTTAATTCCTGCCTTAGAGCGTACGCTCAATGGACCTTAATTAAAATTGTTCTGACCATCATTTATAAGGATACAAAGCACAACGTCATTGATAGCTTTAGCCCTGAGATGTTACTATTCCTCTTCGTCTTTACAGTATACAGACAAATACGTTGGAGCTTTCAAAAAGCATGTATCATGCGTACTCATGCATGTCTTGCGTCGTGCGTGTCCCAGGTGTCTCTAGTACCAGCTTATAACAGTGGGAGCAACACTCCCTGTTCTAGCACTAGATGCAACCAAGAGAATGCATTGTCAGAAATGCAGCAAAGGTCTATTAAGCCTGATTAATGAAGTAATTGTATTTTTGTTAATTTTATGAAGCTATTAAAGTACACACCTAACGTGGCCCATCTTGCTTTCTAGCTGTTGATATAGCTACTTCCTAGTAGCTCCCAACTGATATGGAGCTCACATAAATAAACATTACTGACCACTGCCCTCTGTAGGTGTCAGTGTCAAATTCACATTCTGTTTGTTGCACTGTAAACATTACTGTGAAATCTAACAACTGTGGACAATAATGGTCATCAGGCAATTACGTAATAATTGCGACAGGCCTAGCTTGAAATCTTTTTAAACAAAGATTTATCGGATATCAAGCTCTAGTTTAAATGATTACCCAGTGTTAAGTCCAGTGAAAAGCTACAGGAGAATGATTTCTCAGTACTAAAGCTTTTAGGGAATTGCGCTCTACTCATTAATCAAACTGCAAGTTTTACAGTCTAGATTGTAAACAGCAATATCCTTGTCACTCGTTTCACATGTGTATGCCACATTGCAAGGACCTTATAGATGCTCATGCAGTGGATTATGTCAGCAACAGTAAGTGCGACCATGGCCAATACATGGCCAAATGTAAGCAACACTAGACTGTAAGGCAGGTACCAAGAAATGGGCACTGTCTGGCCCCAGGCAAGGGTCTGTTCACAGCTGCTGCCAATATGAAGAATTGTTAATTTAGAAATGTGTAAATATGTACATTTGTTTTTAATTAATCACTGTGTATATTTGATTTATTAACTTAATAATCAAGAGCCTTAAAATATCATTCCTTTTATTTATGTGTACTGTCTAGTTTTGAAGGTTTTGAAATTTTTTTAAGCTCATGGCTTTTTTTATTTTCACAACAAATTTGTTTCATGTTTTATAGATGCCAAAATTTTGAAGAGAAAAAGAGCAGTCTATTTTTTAAGAATAGTTTGGGCATTTGTGTGCCTGAAAGGTTTTTTTTTCCTTTTTGTATATTGTTAGATATTATTTTTGAAAACTCTGTTGTATCCATTTTGCCAGGACTTACTTGTAAAGGCAGGTGAGGTGAGGAACATAAGAAAGACAGCTGCTTTTGTTTTATTACATGACTTGGTGGCAAACACCTTGGTTGTCACAAATGAAAAACAATGCAAAGGAACAAATCTGTTTTGTTGTTTGTGGGTTAACCTACTGAAATTAGAGAATGTCATCAAAACATTGCTAATATAAATCATTTTGCCTCCGATTTAGTTTGCATAACATAGCATGCTAGGCGTTAAATACTTGAACAGTGGGGGGCCAGTGGGAACACCCAACCCAGCTCCTGGAGGTTGCTACACTCTTAAAAATAAAGGTGCCAAAAAAAGGTTCTTTGGCGTGATGACCTAGAAGAATCACATTTTTCCTAAAGAACTTTACTGTGGAGGAGTCTTCAAAGATCCCTGTTTGTAAATGAGATGTAAATGAGAAACAAAGTTTAAAGAACTAAAGGTTCTAAACCAAGTAAAGTTTTTTCCTGGAACCATACATCCAAGCCAAGTTTAGGAATCTTGATTTTTAAGAGTGTACACTACAGAATTTAGTTCCAGCTCTATTTCACACATCCCAGAAGACCAATTTCACCTTTCCTTACAGCCCTAAAAGATTTTCTAATTGCACAAGCCACATGCTGATCTAATAGCCAGAGAAAAGAGTGAAGGAAGCTGAAATTTCTTTCACCCTTCTTTGGTGTAGAGATCTGCATATCAAAGCTACTCAGTTTCCATATAATTGTTTCTATAGATGATGTATAGAGATGGCCGATACTATTTTTTCTTGAGCTTTGGCCAATACTGTAACCAATTGAATGTTTTTTCTTTAAGAACAACTAAGCGTTAAAATTAGCTGTTCGTAATTGAAACACATCACTTAAGGTGAGCATCTAAAAGTAGGCTTTATGCTCATACTACTCAAACACTCTACAGGAAGAAATATACAGGAATATACATCACATCACACAACGTGAGTGTGTGCTATTTCAGGATTTATTTGAATTATTTTTTTCCAATATGCTTCATATATGAGTTCATGTTTTTCACAAGAACGTGGCATTGCCAATTGGCCATGCATGGAAACCTATACAGTGTGTTATGTGTACATGTTATGTGTACGTTGTGGCAATGATACCCTAAAACTGATATCTCTTGTCTTCTTTCCTCGCAATTGAGAAGAGGAAAGCAAAAAAACAAACAAACAAAAAAAACAACAAAACAAAACAAAAAAACTCATATTATTAAGCCTAGATTATCTCCTAAACACTTGATTAGCAGAATCAATTGTGTTGTATCACACTAGGGTCTGAACCAAAGGATGATAGCTCTTCAGGAGCAAGGTTGGGCTTTTCTTGTTGCTGTGCACATTTTATTATATTTGTTTTATTCTTTCTTTTTTAAATGAGGCTCTCTATAAAAGACAAACCAGTGTATTTCTCTTTTGTTAATTCCATGAAATGATGGCAACATTCAGCATCCACATTTGACCTTATAAAGAGCTTGATTTTATTTTCTTTTTTGTTGAGATTGTTCCTGGCTTTTTTTTGACAGTCATATTTATTAAATATTTTGTATGAAAAAGGTTCAAAAAAGGGTCTTTGGAGTGATGTCGTAGAAGAATGATATATGGTTCCCTAAATAACCTTTCACTGGATGCTTCATGCATCTTTTTAAAGAACCTCCACATAATGTTAAGGTTTTGTAAAAGTATTCACCTGAGAACCATTATTTGTAAGAGTGCACAGTGGCTGTTTAAATGTGTGGAGCATTATGGTCATGAGTTTGCTTGTGAACACTGAAAGCCCATGTTGAAAGACTTAGGGAAAAATCATATTAACATCATTTATCACTTACCCTAGATGCAGTCAATCAGCTAAGGCATGTTTGATATCTTAAGCTTCTTTAGTTCATAACAGGAGATGCTAGGCTAACTTGCTAACAAACACTAGACTTGGACTGTCATCAGACTCATCTTGGTAAATTCATGTCCAGAAATGTCCCTCAACCCACTCAAAACGCATCCAGATCGTCAATTGTTTTGAGCAGATAAACTGATTGGATCAGAATCAAGCTTTGGCCAGGTATGTAAAAAATTTGGTTTTGGTTACAGGAGCTCAAAGTACACAGTATCTGACAAACATTTCATACAAGTTGTGAATAAGATAAAATCGCTCGCTTGGACTCACTCAGACTCTCACTCGCTCACTTGGACTCGCACTCTCACTCGGTTACACACGCGGACTCTCACTCACTTGGACGCTTCCTTGCTCGCTCGGACTCTCACTCGTTCACTCGCTCAGATTCTCGCTCACTTACGCGGACACTCGCTCACTCGGACGCTTGGTTGCTCGCTCAGACTCTTGCTCGCTCACTTGGACTCTCACTTGCTCGCTCACTCGGACTCTTACTCGCTAACTCGGACTCTCGCTCACTCGGACTCTCACTCGCTCACTCGGACTCTCACTCGCACACTCACTCACTCACTGGGACTCTCACTCACTCACTCACTGGGACTCTCGCTCGGAACTCTCACTCGCTTGGACTCTCACTCACTCACTGAAACTCTCAATCACTCTCTCACTCGGACGCTGCAATTTTCCTCCGGGATCAATAAAGTTCTATCTATCTACTCTCACTCGGAATCTCACTAGCTCACTTGGAATCTCACTAGCTCACTTGCACTCTCACTCGCTTGCTCACTCACTCGGAATCTTACTCACTCGCTTTGACTCTCACTCACTGGGACTCTCACTCACTCACTCACTCACTGGGACTCTCACTCTGAATCTCACTCACTCGCTCGGGCTCTCACTCGGACACTCACTCACTCGGACACTCACTCTCTCACTCGGACTCTTGCTCACTCGCTCTCTCGGATTCTCGCTCGCTCTGACTGTCGCTTACTCGGACTCTCATTTGCTCACTCGGACTCTTGCTCGCTCTGACTGTTGCTTACTCGGACTCTCATTTGCTCACTCGGACTCTCGCTCGCTCGGACTCTCACTAACTCGCTCTTTCGGACTCTCACTCACTCACTCACTGGGACTCTCACTCACTGACTGACTCTCACTAACTCACTGAGACTCTCAATCACTCTCCCACTTAGACACTCACTCACTCTCTCACTCGGACGCTGCAATTTTCCTCCGGGATCAATAAAGTTCTATCTATCTACTCTCACTCACTCGCTCGCTCTCTCAGATTCCCACTCGCTCACTCGGAATTGGACTCTCTCACTCGCTCACTCGGAATCTCACTAGCTCACTTGCACTCTCACTCGCTTGCTCACTCACTCACTCGGAATCTCACTCGCTTTGACTCTCACTCACTAACTCACTGAGACTCTCACTCACTGGGACTCTCACTCACTCACTCACTCACTCACTCACTCACTGGGACTCTCACTCTGAATCTCACTCGCTCGGGCTCTCACTCGGACACTCACTCACTCGGACACTCACTCACTTGGACACTCACTCACTCTCTCACTCGGACTCTTGCTCGCTCGCTCTGACTGTCGCTTACTCGGACTCTCATTTGCTCACTCGGATTCTTGCTCGCTCTGACTGTCGCTTACTCGGACTCTCATTTGCTCACTCGGACTCTCGCTTGCTCGGACTCTCACTAACTCACTCTTTCGGACTCTCACTCACTCACTGGGAATCTCACTCACACACTCGCTCGGACTCTCACTCACTCGCTCAGACCCTCACTCGCTCTCGGACCCTCGCTCGCTCTCGGACTCTCGCTCGATCACTCTGACTCTCACTTGGACTCTCACTCACTCGAACTATCAGTCACTCACTCGGAATCTCACTCACTCGCTCGGACTCTCACTTGCTCACTTGCTCCGACTCACTCAATCATTCTCTGACTCGGACACTCAATCACTCGCTCTCTCAGATTCTCACTCACTCGAACTATCACTCGCTCAGACTCTCACTTACTCACTTGCTCAGACTCACTCAATCATTCTCTCACTCAGACACTCGCTCGCTCTCGGATTCTCACTTGCTCACTCGGACTCTCGCTCGCTCGCTCAGACTCTCACTCACTCGGACTCTTACTTGCTCACTCGGACTCTCACTCGCTCTCTCGGATTCTCACTCGCTCACTCAGACTCTCATTTGCTCACTCGGACGCTCTCTCACTCACTCAGACTCTCGCTCGCTCGGACTCTTACTCAGACTCTCGCGTGCTCACTCGGACTCTCACTCGCTCTCACTCCCATTCTCCCTCCTCCAGGAAACTTTACTGTTGTTACTATGCACTCTGGTAGGTAGCGTTCTCCTGGCATCCACCGAAAACCCAGACTCGCCCATCGACTGCTACTTTGTTTCACTTACTGACTATTTATGAAGCAGATCTATTCCTGGCATGAGTGACAGACAGGTATTAAAGTATTATAAATGATAGTTTGGCATTAAAGTTTAGTTCAAATGTTCTAGCAGTTAGCAACCAGAGAAAAGTATAAATTATTTGCACTAGTAATTGGCATACAAATTTCATTTATTATAATTACTATACTAACAGTAAAAATTGTGCTTGAGATTCTGCATGTATAAAGATGATAAGACACTCACTCAGACTCTCACTCACTCACTCTCTCACTCGGACTCTCGCTTGCTCGGACTCTCATTTCCTCGCTCAGACTCTCGCTCGCTTGGACTCTCACTCACTCGGACTGTTACTTGCTCACTCACTCTCTCACTCGGACTCTCACTAGCTCACTTGCACTCTCACTCACTTGCTCGCTCACTTGGACTCTCACTTGCTCGCACACTCGGACACTCACTCACTCACTCACTCACTCACTCGGACTCTCACTCACTCACTCGGACTATCACTCACTCTCTCGGAATCTCACTCACTCGGACTCTCACTTACTTGCTAAGACTCTCACTCAATCATTCTCTCACTCGGACACTCATTCACTCGCTCTCTCACTCGGACTCTTACTTGCTCACTTGGACTCTCACTCACTCGCACTCTCACTCACTCGCATTCTCACTCACATGCTCGCTCACTTGGACTCTGGCTCGCTCGGACTCTCACTTGCTCGCTCACTTAGACTCACACTTGCAGTCTCACTTGCTCACTCGGACTCTCACTCACTCGCTTACTCTGACTCTCACTCACTCACTCTTTCACTCGGACTCTCGCTTGCTCACTCGTACTCTCACTCACTCGCTCACTCGTACTCTCACTCACTCGCTCACTCGGACTCTCACTCGCTCACACACTCGGACTCTCACTCACTCACTCTCTCACTCGGACTCTCACTCGCTCTCTCGGATTTATCACTCGCTCACTCAGACTCTCATTTGCTCGCTCACTCACTCAGACTCTCGCTCGCTTACTCGTACTCTCACTCTCTCGCTCGGACTCTCGCTCGTTCACTCACTCGGACTCTCGCTCGCTCGCTCGGACTCTCACTCGCTCGGACTCTCACTCGCTCGGACTCTCACTCACTCGCTCAGACTCTCACTCTCTTACTTGGACTCTCGCTCGCTCGCTCGGACACTCACGCGGACTCTTACTCAGACTCTCGTTCGCTCACTCGGGCTCTCACTCGCTCAGACTCTCACTCTCTTACTCGGACTCTCGCGCGCTCGCTCAGGCTCTCGCTCGCTCGCTCGGACTCTCACTCGCACTCACTCCCATTCTCCCTCCTCCAGCAAACTTTACTGTTGTTACTAGGCACTCTGGTAGGTAGCGTTCTGCTGGCATCCACCAAAAACCCAGACTCGCCCATCGACTGCTACTTTGTTTCGCTTACTGACTATTTATGAAGCAGATCTAGTCCTGGCATGATTGACAGACAGGTATTAAAGTATTAAAAATTATATTCTCATACACAGTTTGGCATTAAAGTTTAGTTCAAATGTTCTAGCAGTTAGCAACCAAAGAAAAGTATAAATTATTTGCACTAGTAATTGGCATACAAATTTTTATTATAATTACTATACTAACATTAAAAATTGTGCTTGAGATTCTGCATGTATAAAGATGATAAGATATCTCAGACAATGAACGTCTATGCTTTTGCAAATGAATTTATTACGCACATCCAGTCATGGCCATTATACCAAACATGAATGCGTTCCACACAGCCAAAGATTTAACAGTGACATGAACTATTTTGCTTGCTTTCCTTTTGCAAGACATTCTGGCTGTAATAAGTAATAACAGATTTACAAATTACAACCACAGGGAGTAGACAGCTGACTCC